TTTTAAATGTAAATATGGTCCATCACCTGTCCGTTCTTAGGGTACTGGCCTAGGATAATGACTATCCAAGTTATTGACTTGCAAAGTGTGCAGGAGAACTCTCTTTCACAGAAACAGCGCGTGCCATGTTTGTATCATTGGCGATGAACGCCTAGCTGGATCCATCATGTACTTAGGAAGTGGGAGTAGTTGTTACATTAGTGTAACACTCAGGAACCAGGTATGATGGCATCAGCACTTAGTGGACCACTATAGTGCCAGGAAAACAAACTCGTTTTCCTGGCTCTTTAGGTCCCCTTCCCGCCGAGCTGAAGGGGTTGAACTCTTACCTTTCTCCAGTGCCGGACTCCCTCGGCGCTGGGGACTCTCCTCCCTTTTCCGACGTCATCCGCTGGTTTCTCAATGCTTTCCTATGGACGGCAGCGTCTTCCCACTGAAAATCACAGTGAGGAGCGCGGAAGCACCTCTAGCGGCAGTCAATGAGACAGCCATTAGAGGCTGGATTAACCCTAATGTAAACATAGCAGTTTCTCTGAAACTGTTATGTTTACAGCAGTCAGGGTTAACCCTAAGTGGTCTGGGTGCCTATAGTGGTCCTTTAAATTTATTATCTAATGAATGCTTAGAGGGACACTACAGGCACCAGTGCATTTTATTACATACTCAAATCTTTATAGTTTTTGCATTTGAAAAAATATAAATGTTTTGCAGAATGCAGTACCATAAGCCTGCCACTTAAACTACTTCCATGCCTAGACTGGGCATCTGCCTTGTCTCGGCCCTTGCTGCTCCTATTCAGTTCGAAGTAGTATCCTAGCACTTAGCCAATGCTGAACATGTACACTGGGGAAGGGTGGTGTTATTGGACATGGCAAAAGCTCTCTCGTCCCACGCCCTCATATTGTGCTGCTCTGATGACTTTCTCATCAAATGTATGCACACAGTTCAGCCACCGACAGTACTGAATGATCCTGCATGAGTAGAGGACACTCAGGGAGACATGCACTACCTGTTTGTCATTTCTCTGACTGTCTGCAACCAGGTTGCAAATTAAAAGCAGCTCAATCAGTCCTGTTGTGGCTGAGAATGTGTGCATACATTTAATAAAGCGTTTTCTGGCATTAGTGGGTTTGGCTAAGGAGACAGGCTTGTGGTGGAATATTCTGCAAAAACATTTACCGGTATTTTTACTTTTTGTGCAAAAACTATAAAGATTTGTGCATGCAAAAAATGATAGCGTATTAATAAGGCCTAAATCTATCAAGTGCATTAAAGTTGTGTTGGTGCCTGGACTGTCCCTTTATCGAGATGTTATCAGATAAAATGAACTAGTTTTAACAGGTTCACTTTAATATTTGGATGCAATAGAATAAGTTTAGAACTTGGGCACTGTTGCATTGGGAACCCAGTCCCCACACTTTGTACCATGAAGGAAGGAGTACTGCTTACAGTACATGAAGGTAAATGGGATTTTAAAATTGCATACAGGAGCAAATTAAGAAATCCTCCACTTTCATTTATTTTTATGCATTGAAAGCTCTTTGCTTCCACCTATTCGGAAAGGTAGTATAATTGTGCTAGCTGTGATGGTATTAACAGGTAGCCCCAGCCTTTAGTGAGCTAGGAGTGAGTACAATATTGTCTGTGTATGTTGAATATGTGTAATGCTGTATGAATGGATTTCGATTGTTCGTATTTTTGTATTTTATATTTAATACTCCCTGCATTTCATTCTACGAACGAAACTGCAAACAGAGCTGATGGGTTCTCTCACAGAAAGGAATTGATAATGGGGGGTTTAGTAGAAAGTATTCACATTGTCATTAGTAAAATTCCCAAAATATTTACTCTGTAGTCTTAGCAGTACTGCACAAAGTCACATACACCCCAAAAGGTTGGGGTTTTTCTTCTGTTTTTAAGCCACTTATTGTATTTCTACTTACAAAGGCGCAGAAAAATATAGAGATTTGTAGAGGGGGCAGTATGTGAAAACATAGTTTACTTAGGGCGACATAATTACTGTTCTCAGACTGGCTTAGTCTGTACTTTGAATGCTCTGCCTAGCTAAGGTGAGGAGAGTTGAGATTATAATCAGCCAAGTATTATATGTTGATAGAACTCTCAAAGATGCACATTTAGGCATTTTAATAACACATTTGAATGTGGGGTTATGTTATTTAACTGATGAAGAGTATATATATATATTTATTATTATTATTTATTTTATTTATTTATTTATTTATTTTTCTCCATAGTATTGGTAAGTTTGACCTGTCAGTACTGTCCTCGGTTGAACTCTAAGCATGGTATGACAATAGATGCATTGTTTAGCAGTGGTACGTGGGTCTTGTTTAATATAGAATCTGTTTCTTTCTGTTCCATACTTGAGGGGTATGTGACAGTGCATTATGGTTTAATTTATTTATGGTGTCACACTTCTGGCACCCAAAGAAATGTACCCTCATATAGTGCAGCACTATTGAATGCATTCACCCTGCAAAAACCGTTTCAGGGCACTTCGGCACATACAAGAGCATTATGGCAGTGCTTTGTGTATAGGCAGCACTGGTTGACAAGAACATCACAGTTGGGGCAGTTTTTGTTAATCTTTGCCCCCTACTCTAGCCACACCCTCCATCTGTCCTAGCTGCACCTTTCCCATTATCAGTTAGTATGATCATGTCTTGTTTCCACATGGACTTTCCATCACATGTTACAAACCGCAACCATGTAACACAATATATAATATGTAAATTCCCCAAGAAACCTAATGATCCCTTTTTACGTCTTCACTGAGCCTGTAGTACACATGCTATTTCCACTACTTTGAGCTAATTTGTACAATTTGCCGGCATCAGCTCTGTTTTAAATAGGAGGCGGCACATTTATATTTTTTTCTGATGATTTTTATCTTTTTCTGCTTTGTTGACTTCATGCCAAGGTGAACAGATGTCTTATGATTACCAGCATTTGTAGCTGTTAATTCGCAGCTTGGCATTAGCGATCAATACATGTTGCATTATGTACAGCACTTAATGCTAAATTATTGCATAGTATGTGCTACATCATTCGCTCTTACCTTCACTTTATGTATTCTTATAAACAATATCGAAATTATAGTATTATAAATGCAGGTGGTCCTCATTTTGCGACCTACCTGTTTTACGACTGTTTGCACTTTTGACCAGGCGTAAGTGCGAGCCGTCGTAGGGATTCCCTGCTCTGGTGCGCATGTCTATGTTTGGCGAAACTTCCCCGGACATAGACGAACGCACAAGAGCAGGGAATCCCACGTGTTGTGTCAAACGTTAGTGTGAAAAAATACTAGACCACTACTGTACATAAGGGAAAAAATTAATATATTTTATGTTTCTGAAGGGATCATGTGATGCATATTCACGTAAACTCATTGTGTTTCTGAATGGATCGTGTGATGTGTAACCAAGCTACATAAATTTTGAGAATACAGCTCATAAAGTAGATTTTTTTTACAACAAAATGTGTTTTATGTAGTTGTGTTTTTTTTTATATGAGCTAGTCTGGCTCCTCTTGCCATCCCTATATGAAGAGTAATGTAAGCACAGTCTCAGTCCCAGGACTGTGGAAAAGGGCATCGAATGAAAACAAATGCCAGCAGGTGGGACAAACCATGATCCAGTAACGTACCAAAGGAATCCCTGCCTCCCATATCTGTATGTGACTTCTTCAAAAGTGTAACATAACAGGGTATATACCCAAACACTCATACAAGGGTTTCCTGGATGCAGTCAGCCGTGGTGATGTCCTGACCCTCAATACAAAGAACAGTCATCAAGCTCGAAATTGAAATGATCAGGTACTATAATGTCAGGAAAACAGATTTGTTTACCTGACACTATAGGGATCCTTTAAGTTCTGACCACAAACATTATATTTGTAGGAATGTAGTGTATCTAAGGTTTACCTGAAGTACATTCTCAAAACAAGCACAAATGCCTACCATTATCCAGCCTCCAGGTAATCCATACAAAAAAAAAAAAAACTGACATTCCTCTTTAAAAAAATATGTTTGTATAATAGGACTATACTCCATGTCTAAATCCTGTTTGATTATGAAACATTCCAAGCTGCACTAGAAATGTATAAATTTACTTAGATACTATGTCAGTACCTTCAATTATCGATCATGCTTGTTAAAGGGACACTCCAGGCACTCAAACCACTTCTGCCCATTGGAGTGGTCTGGGTGCCAACTCCCACTAAACTGCAATAATTACCTTGCAGGGTTAAGTCCTCCTCTAGTGGCTGTCTATCGGACAGTCACTATAAGGACTTCCGGGTTCTTAAAACACAAAAAGTGTTTTAAACGACCGTGGACGTCCTCAGCCTATGCATGACGACATCCAGTTTCGCTGGAATCCGCGCATGCCCATTAGGTCTCCCCTGCTGACATCAGCCGAAGAAGCGTGGGCGGAGTAAGTCACTTGAAGGGGTTTTAACCCCTTTGGCAACATGGGATGGGGGGTGGGAGGGAGATGGGCACTGCAGGATTCTGCAGTGCCAGGAAAACGGGTTTGTTTTCCTGTCACTGGAGAGTCCCTTTAATTCTCTGCTAGTACTCCTATTGTTTCTCCTGTATTCTCTCTGGTCTTAAGCACAGACCAATGCTTCAGCCTTTTCTTAAAAACATAAAACGTGCAGTTCTCCATTTACAATGACACCGTATCTACCTGTGATTTTTGCAATATACTTGTCAATGCTGTAGTGGCATCACAAGCTGTATGTTGTTCCGAGCACTATGAAAATAAAGAATTATAAACAAACAAACAAAATGTATCTTTGTATAAATGATTATTTTTTTTTTTTTTTTTTTTGAGAAACACTCCAAACACCTTGGCCACTACATTATGATAGTACAACACTGAGGTCAGACGGTTAAAATATTTGTAATAGACCTCGCTGGCTGACTGATTCTGACTGTATCCTTCCATCCAAAATCTGTCAGTAGTGTGACTGTGCAATTGACAAAACTTGACAATGGAAGCTCAGCCTTTTCTCAACCGTAGCAAAGAGAAGGTTGTGTCCTTTTGTCTTCTATCTCCTAACTGCTTTGGAATATCAATGCAGTCAGTATGAGTATTTTGTAAAGATTTTTATCTTGAGGTCACAAGGCCTCCTGAACAACAGGTTTATTATATCTAACTTGGATGGCATTAATGGGCTAAATGTTCTAGTGTTGGAGAGAATTGTATTTGTAATGCAAAAGTGTGAATTCTGCAAGGGAAGCTGGTGGTTTTGTGTCTTATTTAAAAAAAAAATAAAAAAAAAAATTCTGAAAACACGCTGAAATGGTTTGACTGAAAACAGGACATTATTTGTTGCACCATCCCCGCCACTTTAAACTGTAGTGGTTGCCCCTTCAAGATACGCATTATTGTATTGTGCTTGAAGTGTCTTTTAGCTCCTAAATGCATGTGTTCAGGGTTTCCTCAGTAAAACTTTGGACCATGTTCCTAGTAGAATAGTATGAAACTCGTTGATTTGAAGATTATGGTCAGCTGCAATGTGCAGTAAATAGCGAAAATAAAAAACTATTCAGCCATAATTACTGCCAAGCTCCCCACTGTGCCGAAATTCACTTTTCCAGTGAGTGAAATGTTAGGATTTGAACCTTATCAGATACATTTAAGTTACATTTGCCAGCATGTATATGCTGGAAGTCCTTTGCAATTTCTCAGTAACGATGTCTTGGTGTCCTGAAACTTTGATCATGCTTGGTATTGGTTGGAAATATGTAAGATAAGAACAATGTAAATATTTCAGAGACTGTGTGTAGGGTGGTATGCTGTTACACTTTGCATACTTCTGTCTTTATACATTTTGCATGTAGTCATAGGGACCGGTTTCTATTCTGTTGTGGTTTACAATGAATTCTATTTATTCTGATTATATCTTGTTATAGAGAATTGGCACATATGCTATGATAGGTGTTTTGGTTTTTAAGCTTCTTTTAAACTGAACACTTATGTGATCGTAATATCTATTCACAAAATCTGTTCAGAGGTCATGGTAGATATTTTGACAGCTGTTACGAGTAATTGGCTCCGGTACATCATTTAAACACAATTCTATTTCCTCCTGCATCATAGAAGCAGATATTTACCTGTCCAGCCATCATATGAGATTGCTAGAGTCAATGAACAAACCACACAAATATAAACTGCATTTGGCTTCATGTAGAGGGAAAAAAATATTAAATGGCAGTTTCTCTTCCATATGATTGTATTACGGTCCAGTAGACTTGGCAAAGGTAGTGAGCAGAGGATTCTGAAGAAAGCGCTCTAATGGTAGGGAAGAGGGGTTTCACAGAATCTTCCTTGTATCTCCCACCCCCTTGTATATTAAAATTTTTAAATGGTAAATTAATTACAGGTTCTCTTTTACGTATTACAATTTTGATTATAGTTCTAAATTACACAAAAATTGCCTATGGGAGCCGTTATAGTTGCACCTGTCAAGGCTACACTACCCAACTTACAAGTATAGGTCAGAAATATGAAGACAAAAAGGGCGTATTACTGGAAACCAAGAATGACCGGGTTTAAGGTTAAAGAGTGAAAATAAAAAATTAGTCAAGGTTATCAGAAATGCGTAACTACGATGTAATTAGGCAGGTCAGGATTACAGAGGTCAGAAGGGCTGGTAAACAAGCCAAAATCGAATAACCAATAAATCCGGAAACATATATAATGCACTATACGAGGAACCGAGGGAAAACCATGACCGGGCAATGACAATGGGGCTAAATCTTTATATAAACACAGAAGTGGAAACTGATTGGTCCATGTCACCCCTCAACCCTAAAAAACAGGGGAAAGACGCTGCCAGAACAGGAAGTGACGCTAGGCGTCCTGTCGGTATAAGTAGAGGGGTGCCGCAAGCGTGCAGCTTCCCTCTCTTTATAGGCAGCCTAAGAGAATTCGCCTCCTGAAGTGAAAGCAGATGTGAACCGGGACGCGGTACTTCCTGAACATCGAGCACAGCGCGCTCAGGAAAGTCTGAGCAGCGTGTCTAGGTAAGTATTATGACAGCACCTACCTGCATTCCAAATGATGCAGACGTGCCAGCTTAGCTGTTGGCACATTGATATCGGAACATCCTATGTAAAACCATCTGCAAATGGGAGAAATGCTTGATGGCGAAGTAGCACTTTGACAGAGAGTAGGACAACCATATGGAGGAGGGTTCTCCTGTTCATGAAACTCACTACTCTTCCTGGAGACCTTTGACTAAGGCATACAAACGTCTTTGTAGATAAGTGATTGTGTGTGGGGGAAGTGTGCTGTTTTTTTGTTTTGTTTTATTTATTTTTTTAGATTATTTAAAGATTTAAATATTTATATACATATATACCTGCATAGGCAATGTTTACATTAAAATGCCTGCAGGGACAGACTATACACACCAGAACAATTACATCAAGCTGTAGTTTTTCTGGTGACTAAAGTGTCCATTTCGTTTAAACCTAAGTAGTAAATACCATGACAGGTACACTTTGAAAATGTGACAAATGACTTTTCAATCCGTTCAGTCCAGAAACAGCCAAGCAGACATTGCAAATGAGAGACATAAAGACAGTTCCATTCACAAGCATGGGATCTCTTTATTTCAGTGCCAATTTAATTCCCCTACCCCTACTTGCCTATATGCTATCTTATGTGGTGCAGATGTGATCCCTCTCAGTGGATCATCAATGGTGGATGTTGGAGATACCGTGGGCCCTCCTAAATTGCAGAAAATTGAGCAGTGAAATTACATAATTAAACTATAGAATATTTTGATGACTACAGTGTCACTTTAATGTTATTTTTGACACTTAATAAACTAGGGGTGCACAACCTTTTTTAGAGAGGGTTGGAAATGACTGTAATTCTGCCATATAACATCCCTTACAGAGGTATTCATGTGGTGTCAAGTTTGGTCAGGGGTGTTGCTAGAGTAAAAAAAACCCACCAGGGGCTTGAGCCAAAACAAAATTTGGTATCCTATTCACAGACTCCACCCCTTAACATCTACAAGATACTCTACTTGACACAGTCATAGTTACATACAGGCAAACACATGCATATACAAGTATTATTACTTTTATGGGCTTTTATACAGTAGTAAAGAGGGAAACTTATATAACACTAGTTTATAAAGCATTTGTAAACTCCTGCCAGCCAGATCGACAATTTCTATCCGTTCGCAACAAGCAAATGGGTGTCGGGAACTCGTCAGAAGCCACCAATGTGTTGCCAACTGGCAGGGCCGCCATCATAAATGTTGGGGTCCCTTTCACAGCTCAAGGTCCCGCCCCGAGCCCGTCCACAGGGCCCACCCTGAGTCTTCCCACAATGATGCAGTGTGTGTGGTGAATGAAGATGGTATATGTAACAAAAAGAACAGTTTGCCTGAAAAGACTTATGGATTACAATGCAGTTCGGGACTTTGCAAGCATTCTCCATGTGAATGCTTACCTACCTCTAACAGGCCACCCTGACTGTTAATTGAGACTAATTTACCTCCCTGCTTGATGGGCATTTTTCGTCGAAAAACCGCACGAACGCTATGGGAGCTGTAAGCCCAGCCGCCATTTCGGGACTTCCACGTGTTCGCGGCCATTTTAACCGCTGAGACCTCCATACCTTCGGGAAAACCTCGCCAAAACTACCGAACGACCAGGCATTCCGTGGAAAGACTCAACAACGGATGGGGTTTTCAGCGAACCCAGGATGGCATACGGATGGCCGGCCGGCCGTTTGGGAGTTTTTACCCACGATCTTAGACCGACTGCAGGGCCAGCATTCATGGATCTGTTTTCGGCTACTGTGCCCGTGCGGTCGGTCAAAACTTCTAAGTCCCATATCTCCCGAACGGTTGAACCGAATGGGCTGATTTTTAAATAGGTTAGTCCCCCAGAAACAAGTATTTGGGGTACATCCAAACTTTGGGGAAAATATGTTCTTTTTAAATTGTTAGTTATCTAAGGGGAGGGGATGTACAGAATGTATATTGTCTTGATTGGTTATAATGTTAATTATGTGGGTGTCTCCCTTGCATGGGCAGAATCACATAAAAGAGAGTGTCTGTCAATAAACCCTCAGTTCTTCTTGACCCTTCAAAACGTAGCCTCGTCTCGTTCTTGAAAGGGGAATTTATGCAGCATAATCACTCAGCTCTTTTTTAGAGCTGCACTTGACTTTCACCCCTGATCCAGCAGCAGGGAATAGGCGACTCCATCACTACACAGCGACTTGCCGGGAAGAAAAGGACGTCCCCAACGGCTACCAGGGTAGCCGTTACAGTATATTACATAGTGTTGTAAATTTCTTCCAAACAACTCAACTTTGGTTTCATCTGTCCACAGAATATTTTGCCAGTACTGCTGTGGAACATCCAGGTGCTCGTGTGCAAACTGTAAACGTGCAGCAGTGTTTTGTTTGGACAGCAGTGGCTTCCACTGTGGTATCCTCCCATGAAATCCATTCTTGTTTAGTGTTTTACGTATTGTAGATTCACTAACAGGGATGTTAGCATTTGCCAGTGACTTTTGTAAGTCTTTAGCTGACACTCTAGGATTCTTCTGCACCTCATTGACCAGTCTGCGCTGTGCTCTTGCAGTCATCTTTACATGACAGCCACTCCTAGGGAGAGTAGCAGCAGTGCTGAACTTTCTCCATTTATAGACAATTTGTCTTACTGTGGACTGATGAACAGCAAGGCTTTTGGAGATACTTTTATAACCCTTTCCAGCTTTATGCAAGTCAACAATTTTTAATTGTAGGTCTTCTGAGAGCTCTTTTGTGCGAGGCATCATTCACATCAGGCAATGCTTCTTGTGAAAAGCAAACCCAGAACTGGTGTGTGTGTGTTTTTTATAGGGCAGGGCAGCTGTAACCAACACCTCCAATCTCATATGATTGATTGGACGCCAGTTGGCTGACATCTCACTCCAATTAGCTCTTGGAGATGTCATTAGTCTAGGGGTTCACATACTTTTTTTCCACCTGTACTGTGAATGTTAACATGGTGTGTTCAATACAAACATGGCAACATTTCATTCTTTGTGTGTTATTAGTTTAAGCAGACTGTGATTGTCTATTGTTGTGACATGATCAGATCACATTTTATGACCAATTTGTGCAGAAATCCATATCATTCCAAAGGGTTCACATACTTTTTCTTGCAACTGTATTACATTGCACAATACTCCAACAATTACAGCCAAAATAATCACCATTATCTGCGTGTATGATGGTTATGACCTGGCCTGATACCACACAATCAGTCACATGAGATGGCCAATTGATGGAAACTCCTGCATCAGAAATATACATACAAAATCAGTCATCAGAAGAGTTCATTCCTTCCCTTGAATTGCCCAATATCCTAGGTATATCAGGTGTTTCAGTGCTAGTTTTAGAGATTGGATTTTACATGTAGAATGTAGGTTGTAATGTAAACAGTGGTGCAGATGGCACTAGTTTGTGTTGAGGCATGTTTAAGGGAATTTCCAGAATAAATTGTCTTCTAAAGTAAAAGTACATTTGTCTGGCAGATTTAATCAGCACTGTCTGTTGTGGTTTTTTTTTTTTTTTTTTTATTCGATAATAATGAACATGTGTTTGCATGTTTATCTAATTTAATGCACATAATACGAATTTAAAGAGAACGGTCACTCCTGAAAATTGCACCAAATCAAATGTTTGAAAACCATCCAATTAAATGCTTCTTTGTGAGAAGCATTTGATTGGACCACGCGAGGGTGGCTGTGACATCAGGAGAGGAGTGGGAAACCAGCTTTGCCCGGCGCTGGTTCCCAGGTAAGGTTTATTAGGACTAGTTGTAATCTTTAATTAATGATAGGGCAATACTGATTAAATGAACAGATTCTCAAAAGAATAACTCTTTAAGATTCATTAAATGTAATAAGCTTTTAGAAAATTAGATGTAAAGATTTGAGGACAGTTGCCTTTAAGAGAGGAATTTGTGACTTAGCCACAGTATAGTATGCAGTTTTGTGGAGCTGTGCAGGAGAAGGTGAAACACATAATGGGACATTTTCCAGGATGTAGTAAAACATTTGGTATAATTTAATCTCCTAGGTTTTTTGGGGTGTTTTTTCTTCTAAATGCCATGTATTTTGTAATCCTGTTATTGCATTACCATTAACGAATTATATTTGTAATTACTTCAATAAGTAAAAAGAGATCACAACATAAAAAAAAAACAAAAACACATTTTCCAAGTTGTATTAACCCCTTAACGACAAGTGACGGACCTCGTCTGTCGCCCGTTAAAATTAACCCCGGATCGCCGCTACCGTGGGGTTAATGGTGCTCCGGTCTGCCTACAGTGATCAAAATACAGATCACAGTATTATACTGTGATGTGATTTTTTTTATTTTTTTAACCCCTGAGGATTAACTTTTATTTATTTTTTAACCCTCAGGGGTTCAATTTATTTTATTTTATTTAATTGAAATATTTTATAATTGTATATTTTGCTAGCTGTGGTGGGTGGGAGTTATGGGAAAATTGGGAATTTACTGTTAGTACTGCTTACTGCTAGTTAGGGGTTAATGGTAAAAAAAAAAAATCTTAGAAAAAAGTTAAATCTGTAAAAAAAAAAAAAAAAAGTTTTAAGAAAGTTTAGGAAAGTTTAAAAAAAATTAATAAGCAAAACAAAAGTTTAAAAACTTGTTTTTAAAAGTAAAAAAAAATACATTTAAAAGTGCTCATTACCACTACACCTGGAACAAACTAGAGAAAAAATTATCCCACGCTAAGGTTCAAAATATGCCTTTTGAATTACTCCAGGGTGTATTCTTTAATAAATAGTATGTGTTTGTGGAGAAGTTTCAATAAACAACCGTCTAAACTACTCCAAATTGGAACATGGACACAGCGTAAAACTTCAAAGTTAGAAAAAAAACTGGCTGCGTCTCAAGTGCGCCCCTTCAACATCCACATATACCTGGCAAAAGTACATACGGGGGTATTGCTGTACTCAGACCACATAGATGAGCAACATATCAAGTATTATACAGTCGTAGCACACATAAGGTTTGCAAAATATACTGTGCAAACTCACTTTGTGTGTCAAAAAGGCAGAAAAAAACAATTACCACTACACTTGGTACAAGCTAGCGGAAAAATGATCCCACGCTAAGGTTCAAAATATACCTTTTGAAATACCATGGGGTGTCTAATTTAAGAAATGCTAGGCCTTTGTGGGGTAGTTTGAATTTAAACCCTGCTAAGATGCTTGGAAATTGCACATAGGCCCAGCGTCAAAGTTCGGTAAAAACTGATATGGCTTGGTCTCCTATATGGCACTATAGCTTCACGAAATAGTGCCAAAGACATTCATTGGGGGTGTCTTTTTACTCCGAGGACTTAGCCGAGCATAATTTGGGGCGTTTGAACTTAGTGGCACATGTGAAATATACAAAATGCCCAGCAAAAATGCAATCCATATGTAAAAAACGCACACCATTATTTTTTACCATATACTTTTGGCATATATTGGTGAAAAAATGGGGGCATGTTAAGGCACCTTATGAGATACTCTGGAGTGTCTACTTTTACGAATGGTAGGCCTTTGTGGGGTTTTTTGAACAGTCAAACTGTTATTATACCCCAAATGAAAGCATAGGTTCATTAAATCCGTCTCTCAAAATTCTACTGTGAATACTGAAAAGAACAGGCCTCCTATATGGCACTGTAACTTCACGAAATAGTGCCAAAGACATACAATGGGGGTGTCCTTTTACTCAGCAGATGTAACTGAATGCAAAATAAAACTTTGTACAGGAATAGCACATACCAACTTTACAAAATACACATGAGAATTTCTTTGTTATAAGTTTGTGTGCCAAAAACCAAAAAAAAACACAATTTTACTCCAATATTTAGCAGAGGTTGGCAGTGAAATGGCTATGTAGAAAGTGTCAAAACAACCTTAGGTAAATAGCCTGTGATGTCTACTTTATATAAATATATACTTTTGTGTGGCAATTTTGTTTTCTTTTATGGCTATTAAGCTTACAAGACAAACATACCAAATTCTAAAATCGCTCCACATTAAAAGTTTATTTTACTCCTTGTGCTTTGTGACTTGTAACTACCAAAAAAAACTTAAAATCCCAGACACATTATATATTCTGTTAATCAGAAGTAAATGAATTTATTTTTAATTATTTTCCTTAACCTGCACTAATTATGCACACACATTATTGCAAAAACTGTAAAAAAAAATAAAAATTTTTTTTTTCCTTTTTTTGTTGTTGCATTTTTCTGTATTTTTATAATAAATAAGTATTTGTGTATATATATATATATATATATATATATATATATATATATATATATATATATATATATATATATATATATATATATATATATATATATATGTGTGTTACATCAAATTAAAGCCCTTTCTGTCCTTTAAAAAACGATGTATAATATGTGTCGGTGCAATAAATTAGTAAAATGCAAATTGCAGTTGAACGCAAACAGCAAAAAATGAAACAAATGCTGTCATTAAGTGAAAGACAAGCTTCTGAAGCTCTGTCCTTAAGGGGTTAAGAGTTGGGCAATCACAAGGAAATAAGAATGAGATAAGAGTACAGGTTTATTCAATTAAACTAAGAGTTTTGCATTTTAGGCCAATACAGTTGAAGCGGGAAATTCTCTGAATTATCGTTTTTCATTTTAGGTATTTTTGCAGAAAATTTTAAAATTCACAATTGAAATTCCAACAATTTACAAATTGGATATTATACATGATGTTTTATTGAATTCCATTTAACATATTTAATTCGCTCCTGATCCTCCCTTCTGTCTGTTTAGAATATGTTGGGTACTTGTTTATACATTTATACTTTAATCATGGCATCAGCAGTCAATTCATGTGTGTTTCTTGGCATTTGCCACCAAGTAAAATGTGACAAGTATTTCACATTGCCAAAAATGTCATTTTGCGTTCTGTTTTGGAACTATTATTGTAGCCAAATACTTAGCCAAAATTAAGAGGGAGAAAGGCAAACAACTAATTACAACTGGGATAGCTCCATATAGTGCAGTGATGGCTAAGCTTGACACCATAAATTGTTTCTGGATAATAATTTATGGTGTCATGGTTAGACATCACTGATATAGTATGACCCTGATTCTTTTTTTTTTTTTTTTTCATGCATTTAAACATATGCAAAGTATATAAAATGTACTTCTCTTTAACCCCCTAAGGACACATGACGTGTGACATGTCATGATTCCCTTTTTATTCCAGAAGTTTGGTCCTTAAGGGGTTAAAGTACATGCAGCTAACACAGTAGACAGCACCTCACAGGCCAAGAAGTGTCTACCAATCAGGAACTTCTCATTCTGTGGGGTCTGATCTTCGTTCATGCCATATACTGTGTAGTTCAGCCCTAGGCTGCAGTTCCGTTTATCACATAAGATGAGTGTAACGACTGAATCTTTCCCACCAGATGTGACTGACGTAATCTGAATTTTTGTTTTGGTATTTCAGAATTCACCACTTTACCAGTACCTGCAAGATTTGGGACACACGGATTTTGAAATATGTCCGTCCTTTTCACAGAAAAGAGAGGATTGTCCAGATGGGAGTGGGTGTCAAGAACGAGATGTTCACACCACAGCAAAAGTGAGTGGGGTATAATAGGTGTGGCACATAAATTGCTAAGTGCATGTATAAATTGTGATCAAAAGTAGAATCACGGCATTTTGTACATGTGGACATTATAAACATGTCAGCAAGTGTCTGCTGAACTTTGCAGAAAATCACACAGAAGACAGGAAGTATTTGCTGTTGGTTACTCGAGCGTAGATGTCTCATTGCACACTCTAATAGCTTTTAGAAGTCTCATGTGTCCATTTTTTTTATTGTACCGTCTTGTTAAACTGAATCTAATTATATGCAATACAGAATCTTTGTCCGGCAGGCCAGTGCATGTAAAGCAGTGGTAAATGCAGAAATGACCCTGTCTGAGCTATAAAAGTATATAGATGGAGCCAGTGAATAATTTAAATAATGAAACATTAAATGAGTAGGTAATTCAAGTGCTGCTTGGGAATTAGTAGAAAACGTTATTTTCTTATTTTACTTAAAAAGGGTCAGTCTAAGTACCATAAGCACTTTGTGCGACTTCAGACTGGCCCAACTATTTGTCATTCAGGCGGAACATTTGGATCTGGGTATGCTTGTATGACTTTTGTCCATAATGGTTGAGGATTTTTTTCCTCCCTACGAAGAGCAAAGCTGTGAACTGTGCAAGCCTAGTCTGTGCTTTTTTTTTTTTACTAATTACAGCACACAGCCCAGTTCACTACACATTGTACTATTCAGTGTATTTACTTATAGCAGCTCCGGTATTCCACATTTTAGTTTATGATGAAGATCCACTTGTCCTATGTGATAATTGAACCTGTGGGCAGGGGATAAGATTTTCATCCCATAAGCTTTTGCTGGACAGGGATTTATGGGATTTCAGTGTGTCCCCTGTTACTGCCGACAGACAAACTGAGCAGTGCAGATATATTTTCAAAGTAAGAAACTTGTCTTTAGACTTTACGGTTTGTTGCAGATAAGTCTTCAGGAGCTGAAGAGACTGAGAAAAATAGGTATGGCAAGGACCAAGAGCATCAAGAGTGTCACTATGCAAGTATATATTCTGGCAGATAATGTTTGCAGATCTTTATATTGCACGGTGAGACATGACAGTGTGCAGTTTCTGGGGATCTGACAACCTCTGACTCCCTTAGAAACCTATATCGTCCGTGTAGCTCGTGTGCTTGAGATCTGGTGACCACTCGCAGTTCAGCTGCTGCAGACAAAACTTAAATCTATATATTTTTTTTTTTTAAATACCTGTGCCCCAGGCATAGGCAGGCTAAATTACAAGAGTTGTTGCAAATAGTTTTTGTTGATTATCTGAGCAAAGAAATATTTGTAGTAACAACACAAATTTAAACACCGCGTAGAAAATAGGTCACTTTAAGTTAAAATAGGTTTGGTGCCTGGACAAATTCCAAATTCAGGTGATACTACTGTACAAGAACCAACCTGCATTTTAGAAGTGGAATTTCTGAAGTAAAATATGCTATGTTTAATTTAGAGTTGTGTGTGTGTTTTTTTTTTTTTTTTCCCTCTCTCTCCCTCTCCCTCTCCTCTCCCTCTCCCTCTCCCTCTCCCTCTCCTCTCCTCTCCTCTCCCTCTCTCCCTCTCCTCTCTCCCTCTCCCTCTCCCTCTCCTCTCCTCTCCCTCTCCTCTCTCCCTCTCCCTCTCTCCCTCTCCCTCTCCTCTCCCTCTCTCCTCTCCCTCTCCCTCTCCCTCTCCCTCTCCCTCTCAAATGTTTGCAATTAGGCCCTTATAAGCTGTACACAGATTCATGTTTAAACAGGATCCCACAGTGGCATTTTAAACTACACCAAGCTCTAGCTTACCTAAAATATTACATATTGCTTGTCAGTTACTGGCATTCTGTTATGTTATTTTTATTTAGATGTACCAGGCCATTTTGCAGTGCAAGCAAAGGCTTGTATCTGCTATGCAAGTTTCTCGCGGTCTCTGGCACCTAAAGATCTAATCCACAGTTGTCAACTGTGTTCTTAAAGTTATGTTATTTATGTAGCGCCAACAAATTCCGCAGCGCTTTACAATGGGTGGACGAACAGACATGTTGTTGTAACCAAACTAGTTGGAGCACAGGAACAGAGGGGTTGAGGGCCCTGCTCAATGAGCTTACATGCTAGAGGGAGTGGGGTAAAGTGACACAAAAGGTAAGGATAGTATTAGACTAATGACAGTTGCAGGAGAGGAATCAGTCAGGAGCTATAAACAGTTTAATTGATACGCTTTTATGAAGAAGTGGGTTTTTAATGACTTTTTTTGAAGGAGTGGAGACTGGGTGAGCATCTAACAGAGGAGGGAAGCGAGTTCCACAGGAACAGTGCAGCCCTCGAGAATTCTTGAAGGCGAGCATCAGAGGTGGGAGTTCGGACAGAAGATAGACGTAAGTCTTCAGCAGAGCGTAAGGGCTTAGATGGGACATACTTGTGTATTAGGGATGATAGATAGGTGGAAGCGGCATTGTGTAGAGATTTGAAAGCAAGAACCAGAATTTTAAATTGAGCCCTATATCTTACAGGAAGCATATGTAGGGACTGACAGAAGGGTGAGGCGTGGGAGGTGCGGGCAGACAGGGAGATGAGCCTCGCCGCCGCATTCATTATGGACTGTAACGGCGCAAGTTGGGACCATGTAAGACCACTGCGAAGCGGATTACAGTACTCAAGGCGAGAAAGGACAGTGGAATGGACCAGCACCTTTGTAGCATCTGGCGTTAAGTAGGGTCGGATGCGCGCAATGTTTTTGAGATGCAAATTACAGGATTTGGCAATAGACTGAACATGAGGCTTGAAGGAGAGGTCGGAGTCAAAGAGAACACGTAGGCAGCGAGCCTGCGTGGTGGAGCTGATGGTAGCACCGTTGACTTAGAGGGAGACACACAGGAGTAAAAACACTTGAGGGAGGAAAGACCAGGATTTCAGTTTTGGTCAAGTTTAGTTTAAGGAAGTGGGCAGCCATCCAGTTAGAAATAGTAGAAATGCAGTCCGAGACACTAGTCAAGAGGGACGGAGAGAGATCAGGAGAGGACAGGTAGATTAGCGTGTCATCTGCATATAAATGATATTGGAAGCCAAAGGAGCTAATGAGTTTATCAAGGGAGGCAGTATAGATGGAGAACAGTAGGGGACCAAGGACTGCTTTCAGTTGATGAATACTAGGTTAAAATCTGGCAATTCTCAATTTGGGGTAGAGTGAAAGCAAACATGGCATATTGAATTTAGTGAGTCTGTTGTCTAAATATATGGTTTGGTGTATAAACCACTGTTCTTGCATTATTCTAGAGAAATCCAAAAAGTCTGATATTTGCAAGAAATAATTTGTTATTGAATATCCATAGAATTGACTTGTCTATCAGTTATTTTCTAAAGTAAGCATTGAAGGTGAATTCAAAGTGAATTTCACATTTAAAAGGTAACTATATATTTACCAGAACAACTACAGCTCAATGTAGTTGTTTTGGGGAGTATAGCATGTCCCTAAATACTTGTTAATGTAAACACTGCCTTTTCAGGTCGTTTCCATCTCAAAAACATTCATGGAAAAAGCAGTGTTTACATTACTGCCTAGGGACACCTCTGGTGCCAGTCACTCAGACGGCACTAAACGTGCATCCTGAGTCAGTGCTGCACTGACATTCAGTGTATCCACACTCTACATGAATTCCATGCTTCTCTATGAGGAGAATCTGATTGGCAAAGAGAGTGTAGTTGACTTAGAGATTTTTTCCAGTTCATATTATCTCTGCTTTGTAAAGAACCTGTGTAAACTCAAGGTTTAAGAATTCTTATTGCTGATGTATGATTGTAGGATTCCTTTAATGACTAATGTTTAAAAAGTCTTATTTTTTGCTGTCTGAAGACTTTAACAAGCGTTATCTTTAATTTCCAGCAAAGCATATACTCAAGAACAGCTGAACTACTTCAAAAGTGGAACCTATTTAATTCAGAAAAGAAAAAAGATGAGAAGATTCATTTGTTGGTAAGTTTCCGCTCAACACATCTGCCAAGGACAAAGGTCTGATAGCAAATAACCATGTAGAATTGCAATTTTTAGTACTGGGCAGCCTCATTTTAAAGTTTTCCAATTAAGCAAAAATTCTATCTTGATTATTTTTAGTAAATAACCCTAAAAGTGTTTTATAGCCCTTTTATTGCTGGTTTACTTAACACATCATTATACCAGTTTTATACTGAAGATTTATGTCCACCATCTATTTTTCCTACATTAATTTAACATTTCCCGTTTGAAAACCCTTAAATTGGTTTCATTCAGACTGTTGGATAGAAAGCGGTCAGTGGACAACTGCTGGCTAAATGAGAGAAATGTGTCTGCATTGTGTTTGTGTACAGGATCTCAATTTGATTGTAAAGTGTCTGCATATCCATTCCTATTACAAGTGCCACTGAGAAACTATAAATAATGGAAAATACTTCAGGGATGAGAATCTGGAACTTGATCTTTCCTGTCCTCCAATCTCTAGCTCATCGTTGGAAAAGTGTAGAGATTTAGTAGAAAGTCAGAACTGTTGATTAGATCTCAAATTGTTTATCTGTATGTATGCAAACAAAGCAATGTGCAAGAGACTACTGAGAACTGATCAGCTCAAGTAGCTTGCTCTTTGGTGGGTCCCTGTTCAGATCTCAAGTTGGTTATAGCTTATCTTCAGCTATTACGAAGAGAACCTAGGCCATTTGCGATTGTCATGGGTTGCTGTCTCTCATTCAGTGAGAGCCAGCCTACATGTCCGTTCTGGACTGTACTTTTGGGTGGAAACAGTCTGATATGCAAATAGTTTAAGGTTCTCTTTGTAATGGCACAAGATAAGCTTAAACCAGCTTGAGATCTCAGCAGGGACCCATTGAAGGGCAAGCTGCTTGAGCTGTTGTCAGTTCTCAATTTTCTCTTGCATCCCATTTTTTTATTTTTTTTTATTTTTTTGCTATCTGTATGAATGCCACCATTCACAGCCTTAAGCCAACTATTACTTTGGCAGTAACATCCCAGGATTTGATTAGGGAGGTCCTTCATCCCTGACATAGAAAGAGACCGTTTAACTCGGTGGCAAAGCTTTGGGTTTGCAGGATGCAGATGACTGTGGCTACTGTTCCTGAGTCTGTGCATTCCTGGTTCAGCTCTGCCTTAGAAATCTTCCTGGCCGAGGATAAGACGGTCTGAATATCTGTAAAGTAAATATGTGTACTGCGCTCTTGGATTCTCTCATGCTTCGTACCCACTGAGTAACCAACATTTACATGTGAGCTACAAATATTAAGGTCCATTTACATGTGACCCATTTGGTGCCACGCGCCCTTTTTCTCACTTTGGTTGAGTAGACCATAGAAAGGGTTTTTACTTGATACCCAGGAGTTAAAGAATGGTTTAATGTACAGTGAACATTAATGAACACACAGAAAAATATGGGTAATTTCCTAACACTTGTCTACTTAAAGGAACACTATTGGGTCAGGAACACAAACATGTATTTCTAACCCAATAGTGTTAAAACCACCATCTTGCCCCCCTTAATATAGCAAAAGCTTACATTTACTCCAGTCTGCTGCTGCTGACTCTGTTTCTGGTCTGTCTGCATGGCTGACCTAATCAGAAGTAGTGTTCTGAGCCAATCACAATGCTTTCACATAGGAGAAAATTAGATTGGTTGAGACTGTCAAGGAGGCAGATCAGGGGCAGAGCCAGCACAAGCGCAAAACAGCCCTGGCCGTTCAGCATCTCCTCATAGAGCTGCATTGAATCAATTCAGATGGTAGAGACACCCAGGATGCACCTCTAGCAGCCATCTGAGGAGTGGCTAGTGGAGGTATCCCTAGGCTGTAATGCAAACACTGGCTTTTCTCTGGGGAAAAAAGTGTTTACTGCAAAAAGGGAATGATTATATTCACTAGAACAAATACAATACACTGGAGTAGTTCTGGTGACTATAGTATCCCTTTAACTCATACATATATAAAATCTATATACTTCACAGGCATTTGACAGATCACTTTGGACAGCTTCCCAAATCCTTGGGAGTATCTTATGTCTGTAAAAACCGCAGCTATTTGTTTAGCTCATCCTTTTAGTAGGAATGAGATGTTAATGATGGTTCAGCCCCTTTCTCTCTTTTTTTTAAATTTTAAAAATGAATTACTTTGTGTAGGTGGCACAAATGCTTTAAGATGATTTAAAACTGACAAAGTCCGGTGCTTGGTTAAAATTGCTTGACTTTCAAATTCCCTTCTTGTAAGAAAGAGAAGAAACCCTGTAAATGTATTCTAATGATTACACATTGTCACTTGGTTTAAAGCCCACTTACTCTAACTGTGACATTCTGTGTGCATGCGTTTTGGCTTGCAAGCCACAATTAAGAAATAGTCCAGGGAATACATACAAGGACTCGGTCCAAGAAATCAAAACAATTTAACCCCTTAAGGACCGAGGACGGTTCAGGACCGTCATCGGCATTTTTGCCTTGAGGACCGATGACGGTCCTGAACCGTCCAAACGGTCTGGGGCTACTTACCTGATCGCCGTCGTTCCCCCGGCGGCGATCAGTGTTCCTCCGGTTGTGGGGAGACTGTCTGCAGCCCAGACAGTCTCCCCACGGCAGATTAGGACCCCCTGTGGCCATGTGATTGCTTAACACAGCGATCACATGGTCACAATAGGTGTCCATAGTGCTGCCTGCAGGGGGACTGTCTGTGCTGACAGGCAGTCTCCCTGCAACTGTAAAATCAGAAAAAAAATTAAAGTTAATGGTAATAAAAAAATAATAATAATTATATATGTATAAATATGATATATAGACATATATTATATCTATATAATATATGTCTATATATCATATATATAATGCCATACTAAGTGTATTTTTATATTAATATGTACTTATATTAATATAAAAATACACTTATAATTAAATTACACACGTATATATATAATATATATAATAACTATATATTGTATATATATTATAAAATATAAATAATAAGTAATTTAAATTAAATACATTTTTTTTTAAATAATAATAAAAAAATTTAAAAAAATTATATAGCTATATGAAATTTTATTCTAACTGTATTTTTAAATTAATATATATATATATTTATATCAAAATACACTTAGAATGAATTTGTATATATATCTATGTATATAAAAATAAATAAAAATAATAAGAAATATACATACGTCCATATACAAAATTACATAAATAATTATATAAATATATACGTAGACTTCAAATATATAAATATGCATATATATTTAAATTCTACGTGCGTATTTATGTAATATTTTTACATAATTCAGTAATTTTATTGATTGCAATTTGAGGGACCTGCCTGCCAACCCAGGCCGAAATTCCAGAGAATTTAATTGGCTAGCACTGTATTTTACCCTGTAACGTTCTACGACACCCTAAAACCTGTACATGGGGGGTACTGTTTTACTCGGGAGACTTAGCTGAACACAAATATTAGTGATTCACAACAGTAAAACATATCACAGCGATGATATTGTCAGTGAAAGTTACTTTTTTTGCATTTTTCACACACAAACAGCACTTTTACTGATGATATAATTGTTGTGATACGTTTTCCAGTTTTTTAAACACTAATATTTGTGTTCAGCGATGTCTCCCGAGTAAAACAGTACCCCCCATGTACAGGTTTTATAGCATTTTTGAAAGTTACAAGGTCAAATATATGGGTCAAATATTTTACATTGAAAATGGCCAGGTTGGTTACGTTGCCTTTGAGAGCGTATGGTAGCCCAGGAATGAGAATTACCCCCATGATGGCATACCATTTGCAAAAGAAGACAACCCAAGGTATTGCAAATGGGGTATGTCCAGTCTTTTTAGTAACCACTTGGTCACAAACACTGGCCAAAATTAGCGTTCAATTTAGTTTTTTTACTTTTTTCACACACAAACAAATATGAATGCTTACTTTGGCCAGTGTTTTCGACTAAGTGGCTACTAAAAAAGACTGGACATACCCCATATTGAATACCCTGGGTTGTCTACTTTTAAAAAAATATGTACATGTGGGGTGTTATTCAGAGATTTATGACAGATAATAGTGTTACAATGTCACTATTGATAAATTTTAAAATGTATGTTTTGAAACCGCAATATCCTACTTGTACCTATAGCCCTATAACATGCAAAAAAAAGCAAAAAAGCACGTAAACACTAGGTATTTTTAAACTCAGGACAAAATTTTGAATCTATTTAGCAGTTCTTTTCATTCGCTTTTGTAGATGAGTAAAAGATTTTTCAAGTAAAAGTCAAAAACATGTATTTTTTTCAATTTTTCATCAGATTTTTGTATTTTTTTTAAAATTAAAATACATGAGATTATATAAATAATGGTATGTAAAGAAAGCCCATTTTGTCCTGAAAAAACAATATATAATTTGTATGGGAACAGTAAATGAGAAAGCGGAAAATTACAGCCAAACACAAACACCACAAAAGTGTAAAAATATTCCTGGTCGCAAATGTACAACATCGCAAAAACAGTCCAGTCCTTAAGGGGTTAATGCTAATTAAACCAGCTGCTGGTTAAATTATAATATTGGCAGAGGCAGACTTGATGATACAGTGAGTGATCTGTCCCTATAGTATCTGAGACTAGTTTTCTAGATCACACTGACCTTTCCAAGGCACTGTTTTTAGTGATAAATCTGTTTTGCATACTAGGTACAACAGATAAACAGGTTAATCTAGCCTGTCTATTGCACAGCAGGGGTTTATGGGATTCGTTCAGCAGGCATGGTGAAGGCAGAAGTGGCTATATAGATCTGTGCAGCAGAGCTTGCATTGGTCCTCTAGATTCTTCTAATCCATAAATAAATGTGAATTAGATGCACCCTCCCTAGTAAAGGGTGACACCGCCGGTGTTTCCTAATTTCTCTGTCCCATCCTCCCGGGAGAGAGTGACATCACTTGCTATGGTGCAAGTGATTTTTGCTACTTCTAAAAGAAAACTATGTATCATTATGTATGAAAAGAAGATTTATTGCACTGTTTTACCAGATGCATCCGTGAACCGTAGGTGCCTGGAGTGTCCCAGTTAATCTGAAGAAGATTATCATATCACTGTTTTTATTAGGATGCAAGTAAAACACAGGAAAAATGAAGAACACTTTGTAAAACGTGTAATATGATTAAAAAATCAAATAGAGATGACAATCCGTAAGGATACCAAGCAATGCTCATCCAAGTATTAGGTTTGTGACCTCAGGGTCCCACTCCCGCCGAGAGGAAGGGGGTTAAACACTCTCCTTTCTCCAACGCCGGGCTGTGCCGCGCGCACATTCAGCCAGTCCATAGGAAAGCATTTTCAATGTTTTCCTATGGACGCTGGCATCTTCTCACTGTGAAAATCACAGTGAGAAGCGCGGAAGCGCCTCTAGCAGCTGTCAATGAGACAGCCACTAGAGGCTGGATTAACCCATTTGTCTGAAACTGCTATGTTTACAGCAGGCAGGGTTAATCCTAGATGGACCTGGTACCCAGGCCACTTCATTGAGCTGAAGTGCTCTGGGTGCCTATAGTGGCCCTTTAAGCTTTAGGATTCGATTTAGAGATCAGAGTTTGATTAGAAGGTATGGTGAGAGATTTTGTAATAACATTTTGGATTTATGGGCAATTTTTAGAGTTTGGTATTAGGGTTACAAAATATATTTTTTTGTATGTTGTCTTACTATGTATTTGTTAGGGCTTGAGGTTTTGGTTTACGTTTGGCGTGAGGCGACATTGTCCTGCATTAAATATGCCGCTTCAATGTTAAACAGACCTTTTAATTTATTTTTTATTTAAGAAGAGGAGATGAACATATTGGGTGCTGGGGTTACATAACCTAGCACCACGTCTATTTACTTTATTAAAGTGATTAGATGCATTTATAATTGTTTCTCCTGATTATTTGAATGTATTTATTTTGTACATAACCCTACAGAAGGGGTGTTGTTTTATGGAACATACTATCTATAAGTGGCAGTATATATTCTTATGACTTATAGGGTTTATTTTCTAAACTGTGAATTGAAAACTTTTTTTCTCACAAAATAGCTAGAATATTGCTTTTTTTTCTTCAAATATTTTTATCTTAAATTTTTTCACCCATTATAATGTCCTCATAGTTCACTGCTTAGTAAATACACCCGGATTGGAAGGGGTTACAGTATGAGCCTTTAGCGTTATATGCCAGTTCCCTGAACAAGCATCGTCCTCACTTCCGGTAAACATTTCCATGTGTGGTTAGGAATGTTTCCCAGCAGTGCAGTGGCATATTTGTATTTAACTATTAAATACTCACTTTTCTGCATAGTATATTGAATATACATATTGTGTGTGTGTGTGTATAGAATTTGCTTTTTAAATTGGTATGTCCACATTAGAGAGAAAACAAAACATACACATACATTGTAGTACCACTGCTTTGTCAGTCTTTTTGTGTGTGTGTGTGTGTGTGTGTGTGTGTGTGTGTGTCTCAGTCTTTCTAAGTGTGTGCGTGCGTTTTATATTTTTGTTGGGGAGGGGGGTTTATGCTTCTTTTTATTTGAAGGTTTTGTGAAACGTGTTCCAGGCAATATGTCCAGCATGTTAAGTGTTTTTTCTTAAAATACACACATTGTTTTTTTTTTGTTTTGTTTTTTTGATGAAGTGCACTTTTAATGCTGATTTTTACTAGATGTTGGCATTTAACACAGTGTCAGCAATTTTTTTATTTATTTTTTTGCGCATGCAATTTAAATTCATTTACATATGGGCCCTGGGCAGGGTGGATTTGATTTAAATCACTGGTCAGTAAGGCTTGATTTTAAGCATTGATTTTAAATGTGAAGACTAATTTTTGTTGATTGTTAAAAATGTAATATTTGCAACCAAATGAAGATTTCTTATTTAGCATAACTTTTCAGATTAGTTTAACTGTTATAGCAGAACTGATTTTGTTATAAACCATTAAACAGTAAAAACCAAAAAAAAGTTACCTGCGCTAGCTCCTTAATCTCTATGTATATTTAAACAAATGGAGGTCATTTAGTTACTCCAATGGCCACTGGAGGGAATGCCAGCCTGCCAACATCAAGGCAGACCCCCCTAGATGGGTCCTACTCTGACCCTTCAACCTGCTTCCTTGAGCTTCTGGCAAAGTTATTTCTAATGACCTCCATTTGTTTAAATATACATAGGATAGGTAGTAGGGAATACAAACTGTCATTATTTGCGGACGACATACTCCTCACCCTAGAACAACCGCATATCTCCCTACCCAACTTCCACAAAATCCTTTCCAAATTCAGCGCATGCTCCTACTATAAACTGAACATCTCAAAAACCCTAGCTATGGGTATCAATGTCACGACTCAGGAAATGACCACCCTCAAAGCCAGTTTCTCTTACGACTGGAGACAAGACCACCTCAAGTTTCTAGGGATCCTACTCACCCCCTCCACAACCTTGTTGTATAAAGCAAACTATGCAAAACTAACCACAGAAATCAAGAACCTACTACTAAGCTGGAAAGGCAAATATATATCTTGGCCCGGCCGGATAGCCTCTATTAAAATGGTGATCCTACCGAAGATCCAATACCTGTTCCGCACACTTCCGCTCAAGATCTCGAACAAGTACTTGGAAGATCTACAACGCATCCTGAATGACTTTGTATGGGACTACAAAAAACCTAGGGTGCCCCTCAGCACGATGTTCAAACCACACGCCAAGGGAGGAATGGGACTACCAGACATTAAAAAATACTACAGAGCAGCACAGATAGCTCCACTCCTCGCGGCTTCAAACCATACAACCCCTTTACCTTGGGTCGAACTGGAAGCATCTAGAACTGATGGGTTCACACTTCCCACACTAGCCTGGCTACCAGCAAACCGACGCCCCTGCAAGTTAGCAATGCTTCCAACAACAGCCACGACCCTTTCAATATGGGACAATTACCGCAGGAAGAGAGGGAACATATCGCCTCTCGCACCAGCAACCCCAATAGAAGCAGTACGACAACATATCCCAAACTTCAACCACAAACTCTGGCTCCGACACGGTATTCTCACACTGTCGCAAGTACTACAGGGCGACAGCCTCAAACCATTCCCTGACATCTGCCGAGAGTTCAGAATGCCTATGATCGCAAACTTCTCCTACAATCAACTACAATCTTGGACAAACCTCCACAAACCGAGAGGACACAAGAGCCCACCGGATCCACACTGGCTTAAAGTAACAGAAATATGTACAAAGAAAAACCGGCAACAAAACTAATTTCATTGATCTATACCTCAGAACACATAGACACTCAAGCAAAGCCCACACCATTCCAAGAAGCATGGGAACGAGATCTAGGATACAAACTCACAGATGAGAAATGGCTGGATATCTTCCAAGCGAACAAAAAAATGACCCTCTGCATGTCACACATGGAACTCTCACGCAAACTTCTCTACCGATGGTATCTAGTCCCCACGAAAATAAAACATTGCTATCCCACAGCATCCGACACATGCTGGCGTTGCCAAAGAGACCGAGGAACCTTCCTACACATATGGTGGCAATGCCCACTCCTACAACAGTACTGGACACAGGTCCTAGATTTAACGAAACAATGCACCCAGACACACATCCCCCAGACACCGGAGCTATTCCTATTGCTCCTGCTCCCCCAAACACCCCAAATCCACACCAAATATCTGCTATACCACATCTGTATAGCAGCCCTCACTGTCATAAGCAGGAAATGGAAACAAACAACCGCCCCAACGATCCACCAATGCATTGAGGCGGTGGAAACGAACAAGGCTTATGAAAATGCAGCACGGAAATCCAGACGGAGCGAACCCTTCTGGACCAAGGCATGGGTCCTATGGGACAAAACCAAACCAAGCTGACCCACAAGACATCCACAGCCATGCGACCAAGACAACACACCTCCCCGACTGAAGGAACACGTAACTCCCACACCCTGACTGGCTGGCCCACACACATACCCACTGAGACACACATCAGTATGCACACCAACACACCCCCACCAATCACACACCGACACAACACGTTCCACACGCACACACCCTACCCCCCTCCCCCCCCCCCCCGACCCAACCTGCCCCCACCACCCCGCACCCTACGGAACCACCACTGAGCGACAAGAATTTGAATATGAGACAAGGTCACTTGGACCAGGAAGTGGTGGCACGTGACCCTGAATTTACGCTGATGTATAATCACTATGGAACCATACAAATCTTGGGCACAACAGGTCAACTAACTTATGTAATAAACTACTCGACACTGAAATGTCTTGTGTATGCATTGCACCCCATGCCACCCCACTGTATCCATGATACTCTCAAGACGAACTGCATGACTCCCCCCCCTTTTTTTGCCTTTTGTATCCCCCATGCCTCTTTAATGCAAAATAAAAATGGTCAAATCAAAAAAAAAAATACACCTACCATTAAAAAAAAAATAAAAAAAATATATATATACAAAGGGATTAAGGCGCACAGGTAACTTTTTTTTTTTTTCATTTGGTTTTTACTATATGTATTGGAGCTGATGTGTACTGTGGTCGTTGCTGCCGCCCAGGAATGATGAAGTGAGCGCAGGACTTTTCTTTTTGTATTTGTATTTTGTATCACACAGCTAGGTTACAATGCTGCCGCCCATCCCATGTGTTTCCTATTAAGGGTTAATAAGTATATAGGGGTGTGTATAAAAAAATACCCCTTTCTGTCTCACTAGATATACCTTTGCCAGAAGCTCGAGGAAGCAGGTTGAAGGGTCAGAGTAGGACCCATCTAGGGGGGTCTGCCTTGATGTTGGCAGGCAGGCATTCCCTCCTGTGGCCATTGGAGTAACTAAATGACCTCCATTTGTTTAAATATACATAGGGATTAAGGAGAGCGCGCAGGTAACTTTTTTCTTTGGTTTTTACTATATGTATTGGAGCTGATGTGTACTGTGGTCGTTGCTGCCGCCCAGGAGTGATGGGAGTGAGCACAGGACTTTTCATTCTGTATTAGATATGCAGTGATAAGGAAGGAATCATCGCAAGGGGCACGATATCTAGTTTGGCAAGTTAATCACTCATATTTGGAGAACAATTTTTAAAAGTAAATTTTTTGCTAAAATATCTTACAGCATATATATGTTTGTGGTTAAATATCAATGTTTGTTAACTGAAATGGCTAAACAAAACAAAACCTCAAAAAAAAAAAAAAAAAATGAAAGAATATGAACTGCAATAGTGTGCCCTCTTACCTGGGTGGCCTCCTGAGCGCCAAGACTTCTTTGCTGGGTGACGCACATTCGGCTTCTGCAGAAGGCAGGTGGGGATTCCACCGGTCATTCATTGGCTGAAAGCATCAGCTGAGTGCTCTCGGCCAATAAATGTCCCTCTGTGCAAAGAATATGCATCTGACATTAGCCAGCCTGGGTCTCTTGTTCAGGGCTGGCTACTGATGTACTAGTGACCCTGCTGGAGGTGGAATTACACCTGACAGCATTTTAAAATATATCTGTGTGCAGAATTCCATATTGAAAAGCTGGTAGGCTAATTCTGGCTTCAATAGGCAAATGAGCATCTAGTAATACAAAGTGGACACCAAAATAGTAAACTCTTGGTCAGTTAGACTAGGCTATTAGAAATACACAGTGTGCACGCACACTAGTGAGAAGGCTAGCTGCCTGCGCTACACCACAGTAAAATAGCAAAGATAATCAGCGAGGTGTTAATAGGCATGTGCGTATCTGGTAGTGGACAACACCCTGGTTACAAGGTTAGTCAGCACTGTAGTAAAACTGTCAAGTTACAGATAGTCAGCCAATGCACTAAGAAGGTAAGGGTACACAAGAACGTGCAGACAGGCTTGAAGGGGCTTTAAAGAGATGCCATAGGCAGACTAGCTTTGTGTAATGGGTTTGGATTGCTAAGCATGGGGCCTATAGCTTGTAATGGTCATGTACTCCGTTGGGGCCATGATGAGTGTCTCAATACCCCTGTAGTCAAGCCGTGGGCCTGTTGTGAGGATCCTTCTCTGTGGGGACAGTAGGGTGGAAAAATATTTAAACCTGGTGATCGTCATGAAGTAAGCTGTTACGACCAGTAACTCTAAAGTGGGTCAAGTGTGCACTCTAGGGGTACCGAACTGGGTCTGAACCACTTAACTAAAAGGAGCACAATAGAATGCATTAGAAAACCGTGTGTGACCTATAGTCCGCATTACGGCTGCTGCGTCTTGGATCAGGTGTGAGTCAGTTCCATGTTGGATGATGAGCATTCAGGAAAAGTCAGGGGTAGCATATGTTGTGTTGTTAAAGCATGGAGCTGAGTAGTCGGAGCGACCTGCGCCACGCTAGAGTACCACTTGACAGGTTGGCAAAGAATGTCAGCGCCATGGTCTCAAATTGGAGAGGTGTTTTTCCCTGTAGGGCTGTGAGGACCGCTGCTTTATCTTTCCCATTGCAGAAGGTGACTATAATGTCCCTTATGGCTGTGGCTGCTGCCCTGGCAGGTTTGGGGACCCTAAAGAGGTCTTCAGGGTTAATAGCTTTGGCCTGCCTGAGCGGCAGTATTACCGTCAACAGGCGCCTCATTACGTGCGGCAGTTCGGCCTCTTGCGTTTCCTCTGGGATCCCTCTAACCTTTTCTCCGCCTGGTGTCCTCTTGAGCCACGAAGCGGCGTTCATGCATCTGGTGCTGCTGTTGCAGGTCATGCATGGCCTGTTGGAGCGTGGTAATGCTCTGAATGTTAGCTTGGGAGGATCCCTCCAGCGTGCTAATTTGGCTTGTCAGGCGTTGTAAGTCGCCTTGGAGCTCTGTTACATCCGTTAAGATGTTTTTTTGAAGGTCTGCCAATAATGCTTTTAAGACCGCGGTGGTTACCAGTGAGGAGTCTGCTCTTGCCTTACTGTGTCTTGCCATCTGCTCTGGACCAGGTGAGAATTCTTCTTCTTCTTCGTTATTGCCAGAGAATTCATGGTATGAGTCGGAGCAGCTGCCGTGGAGAGCCGGCATATTTGGCCCGCAACGCCGCGTGCTTGCCTCCACATGTCGCTGATCGTCAGCCCCAAGGTAGGCTTATCCGGTACCGCTTTTTTTAGTTTTGCGTACCATGTGGCTAGAGAGGTCCCCACTATTATTACTGGAGGTGTAATGGTACAATTTAACTGTTGATTTCTGGCAGGAACGACACAGGGATCCAATTTGCAGAAAAGAACGTTTACCGGCCTTAGAATGGCCGGACTAACGCAGGAAAGGACAGAGTATAGTCTGGGACTAGCCGAGGTCGAGGGAGCCAGAAAACAGGTAATCGAATATATAAGCCAAGCCAAATCAAAGGGAAGGAGAACACAGAATAGTCCAAATCAGAGCAAAGTCAAATACCAATAAACCAACCAACCAAACCAGAGTATGCACTATAGGAATAATAAAGCTAGAACTACAACAGGGCAATGATTCATTGCAAATGAGACCTCTTTAAGTGATGGCCACACCCCCAAAACATCCGAATTCAAACGTTTTGGCGGGCTGTGAAGTCATGATGTTGGTGCACGTGCGCCAAGTCATAAAAAGGGGGGGAGCTATCACGGCCCACGTCTGATTGGCCGAGATGAGAGGAGGGAATATAAGGAGTGTCCCCATCATGTTGGAGAAGACCCACAGGCTGGATCCCTGCCTGGGCAGCAACCACAGGTACTCTGACAATTTCACCATGTGAAGCTCGGAGCTACAGGCTAATGCGACCGCTCGCTTCAGTGGTCAAAAAATTGTATTTTAAAATCTGGCTCCTAACTTTTTTTTAGCTGGCTCCTAGATTCGAAGCAAATTTGTCAAGTTCCTTTAAGGTAAAGTGATCTTTGTGTGTACATAGATGCCGAATAAAAATGGGATTAAGGTCTCTTTCTGAACTTCGTATGTTTATTTTATAACATTTATTATTAGGAAAAAGTGCACATCTCTGGAGTTAAAGGGACACTATAGTCCCCCAGACCACTTCAGCTCAATTAAGTGGTCTGGGTGCCAGGTCCCTCTAGGGTTAACCCTGCCCACTGTATGTTTACATTTGGGGTTAAGCCAGCCTCCATCAGCCAGCCTTTGGGGTTAAGCCATATTATGCCTCCATCACGCAGGGCGTCCATAGGAAAGCATTGAAAAAGGCTTTCCTGTGGACACTTTGAATGCGCGCGCGGCACTGCCGCGCATGCGCATTCCGCTCCGCTGACGTCAGACGGGGGAGCTGTCGGCGGGGGAGGAGAGCTAAGGGAGCCCGACGGTGGAAGAAGGTGAGTAACTGAAGGGGTTTTAACCCCTTCAGCACCACAGGAGGGGGACCCTGAGGGTGGGGGCACCCTGAGAGTACTATACTATAGTGATCCTTTTAATTTACCAAAAATTTAAATATTCCATGAAAATACAACCTTATTCTACATAATGAATGCATATTTCATGCTGAATAACCTTTGAACTATAATGTATTTTAAAGGGACACTAGCTTTAGCTTAATGAAGCAGTTTTGTTGTATAGATCAGGCCGTTGCAGCCTCACTGCTCAGCTCTCTGCCATTTGGAAGTTAAATCTTTGTTTATACAGCTCTTCTCATACTTCCATGCATGTTACTTACACAGCCTCCCTAAACAGTTCCTGTAAACGGAGATCTAATGTTTACACTTTCTTTATTGCCCATTATGTTTAATTTTAAAATTTCTTATCGTCTGCTCTGTAGCCTTCTAGACACTGCATGAGTGTCCTGTGTGTGATTAAATTTCAATTTACAGAGCAGGAGATTGAAACTTCTTTTCTTTCTTTTTTTTGTAAATTCTTTATTTTGTCGTTCAGGTGAGTACAAAACACATACATACACCACAACAGCGTACATGTGCATAGAAACAAGTTGAATAATGGTACAAATAATGAGCAATAGTGTCTTTCGATCACGTGACATTCGTCAAGTGTCATAACAGCGGTCATTAAGATGTAGACAGGTTTAACAATTGTAGGTGAGTGCGTACTTCTGAAGCCGAAGCAAATTCAATAATGACGGCTGAGTAGGAACGAGAGGTTATATCCTTACCATACTATAAAGTTCTGCTGTAGAATTAAGCTTACTGGTCTGATGCAAAAAACAAGGTAGTAGCTTCAATACCAAAAATATGTGACACGTAGAGCAGAAAAGCATTTGCGTCAATAATTAGAGACACTTGACACATAGGCTATTAAGCTTAGTATAGGGAATTATTCGCTTAACTAATTCTATTGTTATGGAATCAATAATTCGGGTTCCAATTACTTACATGTCACTGTTGAGAAAGCGATTCCCCAAATCTTAGTTTTAACCTGGGATCTCCTATAGAAAGTAGCCCCAAAGGTAAATTGTGTAATAAATGTTAGCTTGACTGTTTCGGTTTGTTTGTATATCCCTCTGGTCAGGTGTATGTTATGTCTGCGTCCAGTCGCCCTAATCTGTCATTGGGCAGATGTTTAGTTCCTATCTTCCCGTCAGTTAATTGTGTCTTACTTTGGGAGCTAGTTCTCTATGTGTCTGGTCCCATTCTACCTCCATCAGTCAGCTGTTATTTAAGTCGATGACTCGTATCTACGGAACTTGCTTCGTGTTATGGCTATATATTGTGTAACGGCTCGCTCGGGTCCTCCCGGCTCCGGCCTCCTCGGGCGCAGGTCAAGCCGCTTCTGCGAAGACCCTCAGAAAAGTTACGTGGATTTGATTAGATGCAGTGGGTAAAAGGAGGGGAGAGGGGGAATTTGAAGGACAACATGTGTCGGGGTGCGCCGGGCACCCTCAAACCCCAGGTGTTATGGTGTGTGCTATGTCTCCCTAGTTCCGGGACGTGAAAGGTAGACATACCATGGGGTCCAGATGTCGACGTGTTTGGCGCTTCTCCCTAGTAGTTCTGTGTACCGCGCCTCAGCTGTGTGTATTTCCTCAACTCTCTGTAGCCACTCTGTAACGGTCGGTGGTTGGGTCTGTTTCCATTTGACTGGTATAGATGCTTTCGCTGCGTTAAGCAGGTGCCTTAATATCGATCGCTTGTATTGGGCTATCAAGCCTTCCGTGTAATGCAGTAGGGCCATTTCTATGCTAAAGTCCGGCAAGTCTCCCAGGATTGTCGTCATTTCCCTTTGTATGTCCTCCCAATATGGCTTAATCAGCGCGCAGTCCCACCAGATGTGCCGTAGGGTGCCTGTTTGGGATTCACACCTCCAGCATGTATCTGTGGTTCCCCTGAATATTCTGTGTAGTAGAGATGGGGTCCTGTACCATTGAGAGATTGAGATTGAAACTTCTAAAGTGAGTGTACATCTGATTGAAAGATTAAACCATTTTTTTTTTTTTTTTTTCAATGCAGGCTGTGCAAGCCACAGCCAGAGGAGGTGTGGCTATGGTTGCATAAACAGAAACAAAAGTGATTTGACTCCTTGTCAGGTGTTCTATCTGGTCATTAGTACATAATTATAGCATCACAGCCACTGACAAAAGCACACATCACCAAGCAAATCTATAGTTCATCATACTGTTTTACAGCCCATGTGCTATTGATGTATAAATGCCAATGTAATAAATATCAGCACGTGACCTCATATATTACAGTATGGAACATTATATTTCGCTTGGTTCTGGGAGCCATGAATTACTTGCTACATGACACTTATCTAGAAATTAAATGTATAAGTGCTGTTTTTTCATTTTGTTTTGGCAAGTTATAAACACATCTTTCATGAATACATCAATAGTTTTTCATGCGTCTCCCACAAGCCAATGATGCATACTTTTTAGGGAGTGAGGTGAGAAATGGCAAGATAACGTAATTTGGACAGTAAAACTTTTTACCTAAGGGGTTAAGAGCCATCTGTTTCTTTTCTCCACCCTTGTAGGATGTCGGATTCCGACTGGATAGCCTTCGCACAATCCTGCAGCAGGAAGTCCTGATACAGGAGGATGTGGAGCTGATTGAGCTGCTTGACCCGACGATCCTGTCTGCTGGCCAGACCCAGAATCAACAAAATGGACACCTTCCTACCCTGCGCTCCATTGCAACGCCTAGTATTTGGTACGGTGCAGCAAAGCTTCTTTTAATACAGGTCCTGAAATAAAACCCTTTCTGGATTGGTGAATAAACCCCTTGGAATGTGGGTAAATTGTCTATGGATTTGCAAACTTCAAGCCTAAACAAGAGTTGGATACTTTTGGTCTACACTTGCAATTTTTCTCGGTTCTCATTTCAATGAATAAAGTTATAACTGCTATAGCTGAGCAGGATATTAACACACAAACACATTCCCTTTCCTGATTAACAAAATGCTGCATGTTCTTCTTGCAGGGAAATAGCCGATTATCAATCCTTTCTACAGATGCAAATAGTTTCTGGGTTCCATTACTGTGTTCTGCCAACCTGCTTTTATTCAAACAATACTCCCCACTTGGCTATCTCACAAGAACAATAATCCAGTAAACAGTGTCACAGCTTCTGTCACAGCCAGGATTCATTTTAATCAGTATGTTTGTATGGGGTGGTCACAAACCATTGTAAAGCTCACTGAAACCCAACAAACATTCCATGCCGTGATTAATGTGATAGTAACCTCTGTGAGAGTTTCTAGTGACTGTTTTACTTATGTCTTTTCTCCAGTGTTCTTTCCATCCTGATGCATTGAGTTGTAAAGCACTTCAGAAATGAATAATGCACGTCTGACTCCAGTTCTGTTAATCTCCAGAAACTGTGACCTCATCTCAGACTTAATCAGACATCGGAGCTTTCATTCTCAACTTTGAATCTGCCACCCTCTCAGTTACATTAAAGGGATACTTCAACTTTGAGTTGATCTTAGATTCTACTGCATTAAATAGCTATAGAATACATTTCAAATAACTTGATCAGTAAAATCTGAAAATAAAAAGACGCTCACCTTCCTGCCTTTGTCGCACTTTCTCCACTGAGCTCTCACCAAACCAGAAATTGGTTTATCCAATTTTGACGTTGCCATAATTTCCAAAGGGAGTTAAAGGACCACTATAGTGCCAGGAAAACATACTCGTTTTCCTATCCCTCCCGCCGGGCTCTAGGGGTGGAAGGGGTTAAATTTACCTCTTTTTCCAGCGCCGGGCGGAGGACTCTCCTCCTCCTCCTCCTCCTCGTCATCATCAGCTGAATGCACATGATCGGCAAGAGCCGTGCGCGTATTCAGCCAGTCCATAGGTAAGAAGTCAGTACTTATAGGTAATATATAATAATCACAGAAAATAACTCCAGTGGATCCACCGTCTTTAGTCCGTTTGTGTAAATGTATATCAGTAATCCATGTAGATAATGAAAAAAAATATGAATGGAAAAAAAAACTGTATACAGTAAAATCAAAAAAAGAAAAAAATGGCATAGATGAAAAAATAGCTGAATTGGTTAGATCTCACCACTCTATTAGGCAAATCAATCCTGATCAGGTGAGTAAATCCATGGGGGATGGATGCTGGAGAAAGAAACTGGATATTGTTTTGGAAGATCTCTGGAGTCAGACACCGGTCTTGGGTTCGGTCAGATGTGTAAGTGACTGGTGGGCTGAAGACAGACCGGCGGGCTGCACGCTCTGGACCATGTTGTCCGGGATATTTTCTTCTCGTCAGCACAGCTCTGTCGGAGCGTTGCCATGGTAACACGTGGCAACGCTCCGGCGCGACTTCGCAGGAGGATTGCAGCCTCCTGGGTCGTCGTTTTGTCCAACAGGCTCCCGGGTCCTTGCTCCCTACCTCTCGCTTAACAAACTGCCCGGAGACCGGTGAGGGTGAACTTTGATCTCCCCACCGGCCTAAAAAAGGCAGACAGCAGGGAACATCACACAAATCAAATTTCTTGTGAATGCAGTCTTTTTCTTAATTAAAAGGTCTGGCAATTTAAAGAATAATAAAACCAACAAAAATGAAAGCCTTGCTCTTCTGAGCACTAACTCACAGTTTTTCCTCTAACTGCTGTTGGGCGGCTTACCCGCTTCCAACCATACAAAATACAAATTTGAGCACAGACATTTTTTCCAAATTAATGTTTCCTTTCTCCTTCAGAACACAAAGACTTTTGTAGGGAAAAATGCAGTCTCACACACTGCTCGTCCTTCTCCCTGTAAATACCTAACAGGGAAATTTTATAGCAGTCCTGTGCTAATCATTGCCAACAGGTGAGCAACTATCTGGGTGATCCAGAACTCCTGGATTGGATTGCTTACCTGCTGTGCTGCATGTAAATTAGAATGGAGCACTGGCCCTCCCTTCACTCCAAATGCTCCACCCCAGGAACCCATAATAAATTACAAAATTGTTCTGACTAAAACAGACAAACCTTCTTCTTGGGGCTATTAATTTACATATTCCAATACTTTTGGAGAAATATACTCTCCGTCCATAACAATGCCTTGCACTTTGTCTCAATACATTGAGCAAGAACCCGGGGCAAGGGAAGACCCTCTGTTTGTGTTAAACTGCTTAAAAACTACTTTACACAGAACTGAAAGCCTGCCAGCACCATAACCACTGAAACATGATGATGTAGTTATGGTGTCTAGAGTGCCCTGTTGATAAATAACTACAAGTGCTAATTATAAGGAAAGTTCTAATTATTTGTCAATGTCTATTTTCTTTGCTCTTTATACGTACTTTCCTCCCATTAGACCCCAAAAGAGAGGTCTCCTCAGTTGATATAATGATTATAAGTCGTGTTGTGTCCCATGGTGGCTAATCTGACTCTCGTTCTTTATGCAGGGACATGTCCATCTTGTTTGCCTTCCTCAGTGCTTTGGCAGCTTTGCAGTCCTGGAACATCTCTTCCTCGCTCATCTGGGGGCCTGGACTTTTTCTAGTTGCCATTTTTACCGTCCTGCGAGCCATGAAAGTGTTACATGCAGCCAGGCTGCGAGTCACGCTGAAAAAATACTTTGGCAAGTTTGAGGCAACTGTAGCAAACAGCCGAGCATTCACCAACCTGGTGAGAAAGGCTCTACGACTTATTCAGGAAACTGAAGTCATATCTCGAGGATTCACCCTGTAAGTGTTTGTCTCCATTTTTTTATCTTTACCAAATAAATGCTTGGTCTTAAAATAATTTATTATAACATTTATTTCCAGTCCTTCTATAAATTTATCTTGTGGAAAATGAGGACTCTGAATCCTTCACTCAAATTTTCAGGCATGATTGTAGTTGTTGCTTATTATTTATTTTTGCTTGGCCTGGTTTTGTTTCCCCCTTACCATCCACTTAAATCTTGGGCATCAAAATTTAATGAATCATCCTACAATTTATTGAAACAAAGAAGTAAACTGCAAGAGAAGCATTGCCAGGCTTCGAAATACACAGGGTTTGAGTTGAAAGTCAACTTGACCCTTCCCAACAACGTCTGTCATTCATCACTGCACTCCGTAAGAGCTCGCCTGTTTGTGTACAGACATAAACACAGACGGCTTACTGACCATTCCATTCAGTTTCATACAGACTTGGCTGAGACTCCTTCACTGTAAGCTGAGAAGGAGCCTGTTGATATTTATTTAGCACATGTCTGCCCAGTGAACACTCCATACAATTTAATGACATGTGTCACTGAGCGGTGGACTTATAGCTGCGGAGGTTTTTGTAAATTCCGACAAATTTACTCACAAACACTTATAAGCAAGATTGTGAAGTGACAGGGGCATGGGCCTCCTTACATCGTAATCTGTGCAGGGAGCATATGTTCTGGTTATTGAAGCATCAATTTAAACAAGTTTCACAGAATAAATCTGATTCTTTAAAAACTTTCACAGTGCCCTACTCTCTCATGGTGTTTCTTGTGCTGACAGCTATACTTTAAAAATTATTGCTTGCTTTATTTTCTAAGGAGAGTCATAGAAATGGCAAAAGCACGAACATATTCCCTGCTATGAACATTTCACGATTACTTAAGTTTAGCAGCTTTTAATATGTGTCATTCCAACTAATGCCCTATTGGAATAAACGACGCTGACATTTACATAGGATAGCATTACTTAACTAGATTTAATTTCCTGTGTGTGTTTGACGGCACCAAATGGGTTACCTGCGTTTTAGGACTGAATCAAGTTTATGCAAATAATTTGGAAGGCTTTATTGCATCCTAAGCAGAAGTTGATTACTTTTAACCCCTTAAGGACCAAACTTCTGGAATAAAAGGGAATCATGATATGTCACACATGTCATGTGTCCTTAAGGGGTTAAATTATAAATTTAGAAATCGGAATTTAACGTGTTTGCTTTTCCCCCAAAAATCACCAGTGAAAGGGTTATTCTAAACCTCTTTCCGAAATTCCATTGTGTAGTTTATAATACCCTAATGGACATTATTAGCTATGTCCCCATCTTATAAAAGTCAAAATAAAGAGCTAAATTTACCGCCAATCCAATGCTGGGCAGAGCTCCTAGCACTACCTTTCACTTTTCCATTTGACGTCAGCGGTGCCCGCTTGTGGTACAGTTGAATGATTCTTATAGAGAATTTGATTGGACCTTTTTACCAGATCAGAGCCCATGTTCGCACTATGAGCTGAGGAGGGAAGGGGTAGATAGGGATAAATAAGATAGATTGCGGGGAATCATTCAAATTCTCCCTTTTAGCCTGTGCCAGAGCAGAACTTTAAAATGGCCACATGTTTCAATAACTCCTGAAAACCCACTCTTTCTTGACCATCCTTAGATTAGTCCCTTTTGTGACCCTTGTTAACATGCTACTCACTATTTTATTTCCTTTCTAATGACAGATGTGTTTAATGCAACATGTATTGCTATTTGTTCAAATAATAAAAACTGAGCGTTTAAATAAAATAGAATATATGCTTCTACACTATACTGCCATTAGAATGTTGTATTGTATATGTTTACATGTTAATGTAAGAATGGTTTGGGACATCTGTACAGATGTATCACATTTTACTTTTCAAGTTTGCTTGACAGGGTCAGTGCTGCTTGTCCTTATGATAAAGTTGGACAGCACACCAGCCAGCAACTCCTTGGTTTACGCAAAGCTGTCTACAGGACCGTCAGAAGCAACTTTAGAGTGTCACGTCTCGCTACGCTGTACATGCTCAAACAATATCCTTGCTGCTTCACTCCTGTTTTGTTATTTGTTGCTCTCACAAATAAGCCAAGTAAACCTCTCTGTAGTCTAACCATTGTTCATTGGAATTGGTAGGAGAGGCTTTTGGCAAATTGATAGAAGCTTGTTGTGATGTTAAATCATCATTGCTTTTATCAGGAATATTTCTGCATTTTACCAATGGTCTCACGCATAAGGACACTCCAATAGACATTCTAACCCCGATAGATCATTTCTGGTATGATCAGTGCCTTTTTAACCACTAAGAGCAAGAGCAGCAAGTCTAAATGACCATTTAGATTTACAGAAATCCTTGACGTGAAATGTGAGCCACTGATGATGCTAAAACGATTATCTGGGGTTTCACTGTCTCATATAGAGCAGACGTGTTACAAACATGATTGACATCACAACCTTTTTCAGTCTTGGCACATCCAGGGCCCAAGCTGCATTGGAAGGGGAGACATGCACACACCGGGGGTAAAACAGCATAATATTACATTATCCAGATTAACTGGTGGCTCCAGTCATAGGATTATTTTTTATTTTTATATTTTTTAGAGCAAAATCTGATTAAATATGTCTAATAGTGATGTCCCGAACGGTTCGCCGCGGACTCTTCATTGAGTAAACTTTGACCCTGTACCTCACAGTCAGCAGATACATTCCAGCCAATCAGCAGCAGACCCTCCCTCCCAGACCCTCCCACCTCCTGGACAGCATCCATTTTACATTCATTTTGAAGCTGCATTCTTAGTGAGCTGTCCAGGAGGTGGGAGGGTCTGGGAGGGAGGGTCTGCTGCTGATTGGCTGGAATGTGTCTGCTGAATGTGAGGTACAGGGTCAAAGTTTACTCAATGATGAGTCCGCGGCGAACCGTTCGCGAACCGTTCGGGACATCACTAATGTCTAACCAAAAAAACTGGAGAACCCTGCGAAGTCTCTCTTCCAGATTTGTTTTGCGGATTGTACAATTTACCCACAATCCCTATATAGAAAAAAGTACACTTTGTTCATTTTGTTAATCTAAATAGTAGATTTAAGAAGGCTGTGGCTTGAGATCTCTAAGCGCTCGAGACAGGTGAAGGATATAAACTATAAATGAACACACTCTAGGCCTGGTGGTACTGATAATTGTTGATAAATACACAATGCAATGAACTTACATAGTGTTTTCTAGTTGTACAAGATTCGATATTAGGTTTGCCACGTTTTTGCTGGACTTTTAATGGTTCCTACAGTCTGCTGAGCAGAGTGAAAAAAGTGATAGAAGTTTAATCCATAATTTAAGTGTGAAATCAATTAATTGGTCGTGGTGGTTGTTTTTTCAAGATTTCTGCCGTGATTCAATTAATTCCACCTATATTATCTGACATTCTATTTAAAAACCTCCTGAAAGAATATAGAAATTATAAATGTCCACCAAACATTCAGCAGGCTACCAGCCTTTCTTGTAACAGGATTTTATAACAATGGAATTTTAGAAACGTGTATTGATACATTTGGAGAGAGGCTGGAGAGAAGCAGTTTCTGTATTTTGTTTTACTCTCGTTGCAGCTGTACATCTCTGACCACATCCTATGTTTGGCTAGTTCAATGGAAATGGTGGCTGTATGGTCTTAAACATGTGTAAATCTCCACCAGCTGTCAGGTGCTCATTCTGAATTTCCATTTTAAAGCACAGTCCCAGCTGGCTGTTTAAGCTCTCCATAGTTTTACACTAAACAGATTCGGACTCAGGTGCTGCTCAATGAGACCACAGGAAATTTGGAATAGGATTAATTTTCAGGAGATTAAGATCCTTAACAGAAAATTAAAACGTCCCCTTTTACTAGGTGCGTGCCTTGTGGATAGTGATATATTGCTTGTGAGCCTTTTATGTGTAATAGAAGAGTGACTGTGAATAGGAAAACCAATCTGTCAGTCCAGTTACATAGGGGTCTGTGTGTTAATTTAATGGCCATCCTTGAAGATATTTACTATGTGATTATAAATCAGTATGTTAAACATTGCTTGCAACTAGCAGATGTGATCAGTTTTTAATGAACCTGCATGTTTCTGAACAATGGAGAGGCGAGGAGAGCCCATCTGTCTGATCATAGGTTAAAATGGCACTTTTATTCTCCAGCAAGCATCACATAGTAAAATTTCCAGTTTTAACTAGACCTGCCTTAAAATCTACTCGCCACTACAAGCCTTGAGGATCTATGGTGCACTCACCATGGGTGAATCTCTACTCGTGGGTTCAAAAATTTTCACTTGTCAATGGCTAGTGTGGATGTTGAAACTTTAAAGGTAACCATTTACAAATGGGTTTCCAAGTTAATGCCAGGTACATAAACTGGCCCTACTTTAAAAAAAAAAAAAAAAAGCGTATGAACAAGTAGTAGCTGAAATATTTGATCACAGAGACTGGTATGTGAAAACTACTTATGAATACGTTTTCATTAGCATCCAAGTAGTTTATGTTTTTGTTTTTGTTGTGTAACAATAGGTGGAGTAAGATTAGTGGGGCCACAGAGATTTCTATTTTTTTCTTGATTGTGCTATTAGCTAGACCCATTGATAGCTGTTAAAATAAACACCTTCCTTGGTTTATAGATACCCGGATAATGTATTGTCTGTTCTTCGATCACATCCTGTGTGTATTTTACCTGTTCTTTAAGTCTATTTTTGTTTAATTAATAGGAGACATTTTGAAGAGTATCATTTGTGACACTTGTGTGCAGCCGCCCCTATCATGCTAAAGTTGTTGATGTAGTAGCCTTTGAATCGTCTCCACTTTTTCAGATTTTGTGAAATACATATAGTACCGTATTTATCGGTGTATAACACGCACCGGCGTATAACACTCACCTCATTTTAAGAAGGAAATGTCAGGAAAAAAACCCTTAAATTTCAAATAAAGAACTTCTTACCCCCTTCTTACTCCCCCCTCCCCCTCTTCTTACCCCCCTTTCTTACTCCCCCCTCCCCCTCTTCTTACTTGCAGTTCTAGTTTGGTGAATATATCCGACTACAACAACAAAATGACAAACACCGTCCAAGTCTCGTGAGCAGGACACAAGAAATTTGAATGATAATAAATTAATAGATAACAGACTCTGCAAATATCCTGTGAGCTGATCTAGCATTGTCCAAATAGAGAATATACGATTACAATCCTTATTATATAATATTACATATTCCAAAGCGCTGAAAACAAGACATATTTAACACTAATAAAACATGTCACATACGGGAACAGTAGACGAAGATGTCCCTGCCCAAATTAGCTCACAATCCAAAGCGTACATAATACTGGTATTCAGGAGCCAATGATCAGCCAGCCCTTGCATAGACAGACATGATGAAAATCAGATTTTGTCTAATTATGTCATGAACAGTGGCACGTTCATCACTGGTCACCCAACCAGACCCGAGTTATCTGGAGCGTTGTGAGCAAATAGTCTGGGACCAATACCAATACCATCAATGACCATCTTTACTCCATAAAATCACTCACCCTTTGTATTCTACGCCATGAGACCATCTCTGACCCATACTTTCTCTGCTTATTTATGACCCATACCTTCTATGACCATCTCTGATCCATACCATCTTTGCTTATCCATGAACCCATACCTTCTCTGATTATCCATGACTCATACCTTCTCTGACCATCTCTGATCTATACCCTCTCTGATTATCCATGACCCATATCTTCTCTGACCATCTCTGATTATCCATGACCTATACCTATACCGCGCGGAACAGGAGTTTCTGTTTCCTGTACCCGGTCGGACTGACAGGAAGGTGCACCCTGAGCGTGCACCTTCCTATCACTCCGGCCGGGCACCGCGGACAGCAGAGCGGCTCGGCCACGCTACAGGGGAGGGGAGGTGAGTACCAACTGCAGCCACCTGAGCGCTCTTGACAGAGCGCTCAGGCGGCTGCAGTATTTAAAGGGCCAGCGTATAACACGCACCCACAATTTCTCCCCTATTTTCAGGGAGAAAAAGTGCGTGTTATACGCCGATAAATACGGTATTTATAGTACTGAGCTGGAACCTTTTTATTCTGTCTCCATAAGTGACTCTAGGTTTTTTGTCACTCTTGAGATTTAAAGACTCGTGCAAGCTCAAGATGTTAGCAGGTCACTAATGGTGCCCAGATAAAGGTACCAGATCAATACTACTGTGTAACAGGCGATTCCTTTGATTATTATTAGACACAGGGATTGACACCATGAAATTTGTACATATGGTGTGCACTCTCTTCCAGCGTAACAAGTAGTGTGTCCTGGGATATACTGCTCGTGTGTGAATTGGAAACATGATTCCCAACTCAGAACCGTGTATCACTGTGTCCATTTATTTTTATTTTTATTTTATTTTTTTATGAATTGGAAACATGGATTCAATGGAAATGTGTCCTCTTCATGAGATTTATTTGCCTCTTACAGCACGTCAACAGGATTAATCCAGATTCTACACCGCTTTTTGTAAGGGGAAAGGATAGCATGGCTGAGACCTTTTTATAGGCTATACTACAAATTGCATTTTTGGCATATTTTGAGACAATGCAAAGAAATATCTAGTAGAAAGTCACTAAAATCCTTTCTGTCGACCATAATATGTCTGGTTGTGATGTGTAGAAAATAACCTTTTACTAAATAGACTATGAAATGTGTTCTCAGTCTCTTATAATCGGCACTCTGCTCCTCTAATTCAGTGTGTGTGGGCTTAGTTTAGCAATCCATTATTAATTGTGAGTTATTAAACGGATAAACAGGTTATTGTGTGCAGTTGACCAGAATCTGATGTGCTTATTCTAGTGAAAAGGTGATCCCCTCAAATAGCATAAGGACCCAGGTTTTTAGAAACATTGCCATATGAAAACTTTAGTCTCTTAAATTGTACATCATCTGTTAATATCGTATAAATCTATATCAATGCTTTTCCTTAACACTAACTTAACTTACCCCTTAAACTCTGAGATTGATAATGTGAGCAACTATATCTGTGTTGTCCCATTGAAAGACTTGGGTTTGGGATTAAGTGAGGATCACGTGTCTGAGGAAGAAGCTCACAATCTAACAAATGGCTTCAGCCTTCCAGCTTTGAAGGTAAGCATTATGCTAGCTATTTTCAAATATATTCCATTCATATCTTTGCTCTTCTCTAATGTGCACTGTTGTAATGACAAATTACCTTAAAAACCTTCTGCCATGCCTAGTAAATAGTAATCTAGATGATTTTGGCAGGGATGCTTTTAGAAGAAAATAGTTTTATGTGTTTATAAAAACATTCAGCATGGACAGAGGAATTACTACAAAAGGTAAAGAGAGACAGACACAATACACGATAAATTGTTGGGTGATAAAATGAAAGGGGTAGTGAGCGTGAAAATCACAACTGGTGCAAGTAGTGGACATCAAACATTTAAGAATTAAGGCCTTGACGTAATATTTTGGAAAAGCTTTTGAAATTATGTAATATTTTTGGATAAACTTTAAAAAAAAAATTTTTTTTTAAATATTAAAATACCAAAAAAAATCAAATTATTAAAAACGTCTTCATAATATTAATTATCATTTTAAAAGTTTATCCAAAAATGTCAAATTTTTGTCTCAAGGGATAAAATTTCATAATAAAAAGAGACCTCAAGACGGAAATCAACATGAGGAAGGAAATTAAAATGTAAAAGGAGTCTTGGAAAGGATTACATTCGGATTAAATTTAGTGATAAGTCAACATTTAAATTTATGTTGGTCCTCGTTTTTTAAATTGACACTTAGAAACGTTTTAATATTTGCCTCGGTTACTGGGCAAAGTGAGATGTCACACAGAAGAACATGGTTTCATGTTTGCAAGCAATGTTCTTGATGACTAAATCTGTGTTCTAAGTTACTGATAACGTGTTTGTGTTTTGGCAGGTTCTCTTTCAGCTCTGGATCGGACAGAGCTCGGAGTTCTTCCGCCGCTTAGCTCTTCTTCTCTCTATTGAAAATGTGTCTCAAGGTCCTATAGTAACTCCAGAACAATTCCCTCACTACATCTGGTCTGATGTGGCTCAGGATCTACCTCAGACTCAAGCTACCTGTCTGAGCGAACTCAAGCGCAGTTACGAGTTTTACCGTTACTTCGAAACCCAACACCAGTCAGGAGTGGAGCGCACAGCTAAGAGAAAGCGTGAGACGGGAGAACTGAACAACTTGCATGGAGCTGTGCGCAGTCTTCAGTTACATTTGAAAGCTCTTCTTAATGAGTGAGTTTCTGCATCGAGACAAGCACCTTCTCTAACTTTGATTTTTTTGGGGGTTTGATGAAATTGTGGGTAGAATAGACCTCTATCATAGCTAACAATGTCAAATCCTACACTACTAGCCATGCCTTAAAACTGCAAACCTTGAGAGTCCATGACATACTCCCTAAGCATGAGATTTATAAATTATATATATATATATATATATATATATATATATATATATATATATGTGTGTGTATGTATGTAATCAAAGCTTAAAGTGCTTATCCTCGTTACTCTACTATGTCAGATCCGCTATCTTATATGTTGTTAATGAGAGTTAGACATGAAAGTCAAGATGATGATAATGAACCCAGTGTAGGTGAGCAGAAAGCAGTTTCACCGGGCTGAACTCCATAATTGGAGACTTTACTACTCTGCCAATGTCATAGCGTTATAAGACATTTGTGTACACAATGTATAGGCGGAATTATGTCTCCTTGACATTTGCACTTTAATGGAAAATGGACTCCGGACAGACTCCTCTTCACTTACCACATTTGTGTAACTCGAGAATTTCACTTTGTCTTTATTCTATTTTTCAGTCTTAGTACCCACCTTACACTCTACACCTATTTTTTTTACAGCAATCTTTTGGATGACACTATATATGTTTTACTCATTGTTTCTTGCATCACTGTTAAGTTAGGTTGCCACGATCTGTTTCTCATTAAACTGTGTTGCCTTCTAATAACGAAATATGTCCTCTAATAGTCCTTCAAATAATTTCAGTAGCATAACTATTAAACTTGCGATCATTTTTTACATTTGGACGACACTGCTTTATCAGTGTCACAGGAAAGAAAGTAATCCTGTACAAAAATAGTCTGCTTCGGGGCGGAGCCTAGCTTCTGAGCAGAGCAGACATGGGGAATCTGAGGTCCTGCCTTTTGAGCCTATTTTGGGGTGAGAAAACCTGCAAACTGACAACCAAACCCACCCAAGGGGGCACCATCTGAGCCCCGGTGCCCGGCTGCACAATCCAATACCTTAATCAAGCATGTAACCTGCAGGAAACCCAGGCACCTCTGCCGTGGTCTGTTGGGGTAAGATTGGGAGAGGCGGCCGATCTCCTTATTTCCAGACCCAGTGTCCGTTCTCACGCTATCCTACCCCACCCCACCCCCTTTGGACCGGTGGGGGTTATCCCGGTCCCCACGGGCATATCTTGAGTGACTCACTCTGCACTTAATCATGCTTTCTGGTCGCACAAGAGCTGAACTCCGACCACGCGGATCAGGCAAGATGGCAACAGTCCTCTCCACTGAACAAGGAGCACTGGGTCTGCCTAAACCACCTCGCCCCGAGTCTTTGGAGCACACCCTGCATAAGCTTGACAAGATATTCCGGAGCTTCTGGGCACGATTACATGACCAGGCACAAGCTGCCATTATTGAGCATGGTGTTGCCAGCAAAGAAAGAAACCTGTCAAAGCCGAACTGCCCTCTTCAAGGCAAGCATACAACACCAGCACCTGGTCAACCCAACGCCTGCCCGCCAGTGCCGAGACCTCCCAGAGGCAATATTTAATTGAATTCACCGAAATGCGGAAGACTGCTCTCCGACAATGGTCTTTAACGACTAGTCCTGCTACTAGCTCCGGACGGAGCAGGGACTCTGCTCCTGGGAAAACCCAAGTCTGGGGATCTGGGATGCAGGCCCTCACTAAAGCCTGGAGTTGGAGGAGAGCCCTACACAGGCACAACCCTGCAGTCACTCACCTTTACCTACTCAGCACTACACCAACCTTGCAACCCGTTGGAGTTGGCTGAAACCGGTGCCAGACTGCTGCCACATAACAGGCAGATGTCATATGATGTGCACAGCACGACACGCGACTTGTTGTTATTTAGGCTATTCACTATGTTTTACGTTCCATTTTTCATATTATTTTCCTTACAATCTTTATCCACTAATGTGCACGAATATTAATATGTGATGTAGTGAGGGGAGGAGTAGACGGATATAGATACCGTGGTGTACCTTCATAGCACTCAGCTGTTACAGTGCTGCTGGTTTCATAATCGCAATACATGTCTAGCCTTGTAATGGTACCGCTGTACAATATACAAAGATGGGTAGTACTTAGCTTGTTTCACCACAGCCACAAAGCATGCAGAGGCTGAAGTTTCTTGAAGTGTGGTACCATGCACACTTCTCTCGCATTCATATCATGTCACTATTCACCAACCTCACTTAGCGCATGTTTGCTGTGAAACCCCTCATGTGATACTATACCTACAGAATTGCATGTTATGTTTTCTTTTAACTCCTGCGACCTGTAACTAGATTTGTATGTTTAGCTTGTTGATCTACACTTCAAAAAAAAGGTGCCACCACCTTAATGCCATATAGGTATAGTGCTAGGCTATTATTGTGCTTGCTTATGCTGATGTGGTATCGTAAGCTCTTTTGTTATCTTGTGCACAACAAAAATAAAGAATTAAATTTTTTTTATTTATTTTTTTAAATAGTCTGCTTCTATATAACTAGTCTATTTACATCTCCTGTGGGGGCAACAATCTACTGAGCATTTGATTTATGAGATTAAGAATGGAGTTGGCATGGGTTAGAAACTTCATCAATGTTTGGTGCTCTCAGTATGGTGACACAGAGTGTCGTTCTCTGGGAAGCAAGCAAATAGGCATGTCAGAATTAGGTATACCTGGTAAAGGTATACAAGTGGTGTATCGCTATGCTTGACAGATGCAGCAGACTGCAAATCCGAGGTTTCTGAAGTAGTAGGTCCTGTGAAATGAATGTGTGGGGAAAAATTGAATTGAATCAGTGCGGTGAACTTCAGCACAATGTGCAGCACTGGACTAAGAAGCACCTGTTGTGTCCATTTGGAGTTGTTATAGGTAGCAGTGTTTACTGTGCTCAGTATGCAGGGACAGGCTGTAGACACTAGAAACACTACTATTATGCTGGAGTGGTTCTGCTGTCTATAGTGTCTCTTTAAACTAGTTTTTTTTGTGCTTACAGTGTCCCTGTAATATGGTATATATCTATCGTTTAAAAGAATGATGTATATAAATGTATGGGTTCACTTTAAGAGAGAGCCTCAGTCACTAAAAGGTTAGTAATGTGCTTCCTTTAGAAGGCTGCAAAGTGATTTCATAATAATGAGTTCCTTAATGACTCTGTTAATTGATAGTAAAATGAGAACGTCAGTGGTAGTTTATGCTAATAATTGCTAGAGGTGAGCACAACATTTTTTTTGTTTTTATAACTTTATTTCTATTTAATCAGGGTAATAATTCTTGAAGATGAACTAGAAAAACTTGCCTGTTGTAAGGAAACCCAAGCAATGTCAAGTGAAGCATCCCTTGTCCTGGAAGAGAAGCTGAAGATGTTACAACCTCATGTACAGGCTAGTAATACCTGCTGGGAAGAGGCCTTATGCCAAGTTGAGAGAATGGTTCGAAGGCCACCTGCAAAGAAAGGTATTGTGGTGCACCATGTAATGTTCAGAAACCCCACTGCATCTTAGTGAACCTTAGCTTTTGTGAGATATTCTTATCATAAATTAGATTTTGCTTGTTAAATTAGGCCAACAAAGGTAGGATTTTAGGAAGTTAGGAAATACATTTTGAAAACCATATTTTTTTTATTTTACAAATGCATTAAATGCTTTGCATTTTGTAACCGAGACATTCCCTTTAGTAATGCAATGCAAGATAAGTTAAAGGGATAACATAGGCACTAAAACAACTTTATCTTAATTAAGTGTTTTTGGTGTATAGATCATGTTCCTGCAGTGTCACTGCTTAATGCTCTGCCAGTCTGGTGTTAAATCACTTTGTTTAAACAGCCCTCGTCACACCTCCCTGCATGTGACTTTCAAAGCCTTTCTAAACACTTCATGTAAGGAGAGATCTAATGTTCAAACTTTCTTTAATGTACAGTGTGTTTCATTTAGAATTTATCCCCTGCTCTGTATAGCCTGCTAGAGCATCCTGTGTTTCATTCATGTTTAATTTACAGAACATGATATAAAAAAACTTCTAAAGTAAGTTTCAAATCTGATTGAAAATGAAACCAGTTTTTCATGCAGGCTGTGTGAGTCACAGTCCGGGAAGGTGTGGCTAGGGCTGCATAAACAGAAACAAAAGTGATTTAATTCCTAAATGACAGTGAATAGAGCGGTGAGATTGCATGGACATGATCTACAGACCAAAACCGCTTCATTAAGCTAAAGTTGATTTGGTGTCTGTAGTATCTCTATTGCAAAGACCTATGACGACTACATATAGTCTTTTAAGTTGTTCAGACACCATTTATGTTTCGGCATAAAAACACAAACATTACATAAAATGGCAGAAACCAGCATCACCACTATTGGCAATTCATTACCTCGGTTAAGCCCTAGGTATTTGAGTGATTTGTTTAAGATATAACTTTCATTAATTTTACCAGATATTTCAAACTCCTGTGAGAATTCACATTGCCCTCCAGTGTCTCTTGTGCTTCCCACCCTACGTATTGAAGACAAAGATCCAGTCCCTGAAGAGCAGGTAAGAACATCTGTGTGTGACAGACATAGGTTTATTTAACACCATGTACAATTTTCACTGGACTATTATATTTCCAAACTAATAGTAAAATATGTAAACTATAGGGGGTTTGTTTTAATGTTGGTACTCCTATCATCTCGCTCAGAATAACCGAATGCTGACCTGACATTGTCAAGAACCAAACCAGCGTTTCGGAAATGCTTCATGCTATCCACAGAGCTGTTTCACTGACTGTACTTAAAGTATGTGTTTGGGGATTGTAAACATTCCAGAATCAACGTCATCTTTCAGAGGTTATAGGAGAATAATAGTAATACATTTATAATTTTGGACAGTTTTGTCTTTTTTTTTTTTTCAAGAAACATTCTTGGGAGTAAAAGTTTAATATACAATTTTACAACTACTGTTGTATGATTGCTTCCTTATTTATTCCGTTCCTGGTTTCATTCCCAAAGGCAGAACAAAACTTGCACAGTTATTCATCCTTTCAGCTTAAATTTAATGGATGAAGTATTTTCTTATTCCATCTCTGACTTTAACCCGCTTGAAAATCATGTCCTCTCTCCCATGACATCCAATAAGAATTGGATAAGTTCTGAGCTCTAAGCTGGTAACATGTGCTGATGGATTACACTCTTGTGAGTAGTGTGATGTTTACCCTCTTGTTTTCCCCTTTGCTGTGTTTCTGACCTATTTAGGTATTGTGAAACTGTTATCTGATTAGCTCAGATGAGGGTGGTTTTTTTTTGTTTGTTTGTTTTACCACCATTCACTATATGTGCGTGTTGTTTTGGTGGAGCACTTAAGTAATTATTTTAGAAGTAGATTTTATCAAAAGTGGTTTTACATGTAGACTTGTGCAATTTCAAAGATTAATGACATCAACCATTAATGTAAAAGCAAAAGTGTTTCTATAGGTATTTGTATAGCCACACCTCTCTGAAATGATTCGACATCTTCCCCAACAACCGTACAGTGTTAAATACATAAAGGGAATCAACACAGTAAAGGAGGAGACTATATTTAAAAGAAGAAAAACTACCACAACAAGAGGACATAGTCTTAAATTAGAGGGACAAAGGTTTAAAAATATCAGGAAGTATTACGTTACTGAGAGGGTAGTGGATGCATGGGATAGCCTTCCAGCTGAAGTGGTAGAGGTTAACACAGTAAAGGAGTTTAAGCATGCGTGGGATAGGCATAAGGCTATCCTTACTATAAGATAAGGTATTTAGAAAATTGGGCAGACTAGATGGGCCGAATGGTTCTTATCTGCCGTCACCTTCTATGTGTGTGTTATCACCTTGTTCTAGAGCAATTGATGGTTGGACTCTTAACTCATGTTTTCCAGGAATTAGAGGCCTACGTGGAAGACACGGCTGCAGATAAATTCTGTAGTGAGGATGTGTATTTCTTCTCTCCAGAGGAAAGGGAACGACAGAAACGAGAAAGGGAAGAATCCAAGAGGGTATTGCAAGAGTTAAAGGCTGTGCTAGGGTTAAAGGCATCAGCAGCAGAGAGACAAAAATGGAAGCAGTTACTGTTTAGTGACCACGGTGCGTGTTAGAACCACGTGTTTGTACTTCACATTCCCTGCCTGTGTAGCCAGTGGTACATGTAAAACCAGTATCATTTTCACTCTTCTCTACCAACATGTATGGCATGCATACATTATTTTAAACATCTTCTCAAAGGCCACATTCTGGGAATGTATACATTCCTATTACTCCAAGGGTACCTTTGCAGCGCAATATTGCTATTTATTCTGTGAAACACATACATACAGAGTTATTCACTACACGTTGAGATTAAAGGGAATTTTACATATGAGGTAAAAATAGCCGGACTGTAAACTTTCTGTGAGTGAGCTCTGCTTTCAGATTAGCTACTCCAACCTTTAAATGTAGTCACCTTGAATTCTCATTGTAGTGAATTACCCTGATAGTCAGAGGTTTTTCACTGCCAAACGGTTTGCAGAAAAGCCACCACCAGAATCCAAGTGTTTTTGGTATCTTGGAAAGTAAAGTTTAAATATATTTTTTGTTTGTTTGCCTAGTTATTTAATGAAAGGAACATTTTATCTGGACAGAAAAAAAAAACAAAAAACATTTACCAATTAATAAGGTTACTGATAGGAAATCAGAGGTGTAAATAAATATTTTTTTTCTCAATAGGAACATACTTTTTTTCTCATAGTCTATAAGCCTCTCCTCTATACATTGTCCAGTTCTGAGGTTTGTGTGTGTCCATATGTATATTGTATATGTTGCAACATTACCATGACATTATTTATACTATATTACACTCACGTTGCAGCCATGTTGCCACTTTAGACACATAAACAAATACACATTCACACATCCACACACTGATGCACCCATGTATACACTTTGATGCATGCGCATATAGACAATTGATACATGCATACACCCAAACACACTGATGTACAGAGACAAACACCCATACATTGACAGATAGTCACACAACCAGTGTGGATCTGAGAGTGTATATCTGTGTGTGTATGTGTATCCATCATGTGCCTGCAATGCATGTCTCTGTGTGACTGTGTCTGAGAGCACAAGTGTCTCTGTCTGGTAGTATATGTGTGGAGGGAGCTGCTTTTTGTCTTGCTGTGTGCAATGTGTTTTTGGTGGGGCTGAGTTGTGTGTGAGGTTGATTGTGTGGGTATGAGTGTACTGTCTTTGGAGTAATGCCTATGCCTAATGGTGCCTGTGTTTATGAGGGTGGTTGTGACAGGGTGACTTTGGAAATGTTTTTATGAGGTGTAAAGTTTTATAAGGGAACTGACTCCCAGTGTGACATTGTGTGGGGGTAAGTGTGTGGTGACTGTGACAGTGACTGTGACTTTGTTTGGGGAGAGAGAAAAATGTGTGTAAGGGAAGGGGATGACTGTGACAGGGTGTATGTGTGTGGTGGGATAGGGTGACTTTGAGAAGGGAACAGTGGGGGGGTGATGTGACTTACTCTATGTGGTGGAGGGGGGTGATGTGACAGCATGTTTGAAGATACATGTGTGGGAGATGCGACAGCATGTTTGAAGATACATGTGTGGGGGATGTGACAGGGTGACTGACTGTGGATGGGGGGGGGGGTGGGTGTAAGTGTGCAGGCTGGTAGATTGTATGTGGGGAGACTGTATTTCCCTGTTCAGCCTCCCCACACAGTGCATAAACTTTATTTTTAGTTGAAGGGAAACTCCAGTTCCAGGCAAACAATCCGCTTTCCTGGCACTGCAGGTCCCCTCTCCCTCCCACCTTCCAATCCCCGGTTGCTGATGGGATGCAAACCCCTTCAGTCACTTACCAGAGGCAGCGACATGTCCCACGTCGCTGCCTCTTCCTCCACCGCCGCTCCTCCTCTGCATTACGTCGCCTGGTGGGCGAGACTGATCCCGCCGGCCGGGGAGACCTAATGCATGCTCATTAGAGCGCCCCATAGGAAAGCATTGAAAATGCTTTTCAATGCTTTCCTATTGGGAATTGAGCAACGCTGGAGGTCCTCACACAGCGTGAGGATGTCCAGCGACGCTCTAGCACAGAAAATCTGTGCTATAATCCAGGAACTGCCCTCTAGTGGCTGTCTAGTAGACAGCCACTAGAGGTGGAGTTAACCCTGCAAGGTAATTATTGAAGTTTATGAAAAACTGCAATAATTACACTTGCAGGGTTAAGGGTAGTGGGAGCTGGCACCCAGACCACTCCAATGGGCAGAAGTGGTCTGGGTGCCTGGAGTGTCCCTTTAATCTCCCTCATTCTTACCTTTTTGCATTGAGGTGACATCTGCTCCTTCCTCCCGTTTTGTCCAGTGGGCTGCCAGTGGAATCTGCCCCTCTGGCTAAGTGCAGCCTACTAGGAATGCCCCTTCTGGTCTCTGATTGTGAGGGAGTATTTGCAGAGAGCTGCTCTCAGCCAGAGGGCAGCCTGCAGAGTAAGCAGCACAGCACCGTGCAGGGAGATCTCCCTACCGGCTCGTGGTGCATGGGGAAGCTCAGCAGAGCTGGCACTTTAAAGGTAGCACTGGCTTTTCAATCCACTCAACCATTGCAAACTAAATTTGTTTGCAATGTTGTGATCATGTTTACACGAGTGCATACTTTGATAGGGTTAAGAAAACCAGTGAAGCTGAAACCACCAAAACTCAAATCTCAGTCTAGAAATCAGTAATATGGGTGATCTAAAGAACGTGCAAGCTTACAGTGCTTTGTGTTGTGTAAGGTTTCTGATGTGATGTTTACACTGTGTGTGATATTTAGGTGCTATATTTATAGTGCATACTATGCGTATATGATCAAACCCTAGATTTTGTGTACAAGTTCCATGGTTTTAGCCAATTTCCATATTCTAGTAATGGAGAACAACAACAAAACGAATGACGTGACATATTTTTGTGTATTTTGTTTTTGTTTTGTTTTATAGCTGTAATTAAAACCTTGCTACCCGAGGAGCCAACCAGTGCTGTTGAACCATCTTTGAGTTTTGATGCAGATGAGTTGTCTAATAACAAAACACTAGGTTTTCATGGAGAAATAAATAGGGAAATGAATGGTACTGGAGATGATCATGCAGAAGAGGATTCCCACCATCCACTTGATCTTGACAATGAGGAGAAAATATTTCATTTGTTGGAAGACACTCAGCCAACCGGAAGTGAAGAGAAGATGGTTCCTCCCTGTCCAGAACCTAGGACTGTGTTGCCCGCCTCTATCAAGGAGCGCCTTGCCCGTATCCATCAGTCATCAGATCTACACTTTGCGTCTGGACTAGCTGCACAAGTGGCTGCAAGATCTCTCACTTTCACTTTCTTTCAGGAGCAGACTTTTGGGGATGATAGTGATGATGATGATGTGGATCTAGTAAACAATGGAGATGATCATTCAATAGAGGGAGATGGTTTAGACATTCATGCAGAACAAGAGGGATAGCCCCATAGCCTACGAGATAGTCTCCCATCCCGAGTCCTTCATCATGCAAAACACTGAATGTCAGGACACTTACTTAACAGACAGGACAAACCCTAAGCTGAGGACAAAGAAACGTTGTGGTTTGGTCCAAGGCCTGTAACTTATAACTCTGCAATGCCTCAATGAACCCTCAGAGCACCTATATGTTTTGTGATCAGCAATGCCTTATAGCAGGGGTTAGCCAACAGGTATTTCCCCAATCGTTCAACTGTAATCCCCACGATCCTCATGTAGAGGTTACCTAAAGATCTTCTTAGTTGGGGTTTTCAACACAGCAGGAAAGGATCTGTTGACAATCCCTGTCTTACAGATAACAGTATGAGTGCTTGATTGCAAAGCCCTCTCTGCCCCCTCTGGAAAAACAGAGGTTAATGTTTTAGACCAGTTAATGGGCAACAGTCCACAGTGTGACCTAATTTCAAGACCGATTCAACTGCCTAAATATGTTTTTGGATTATTTTAATATTTAATGTTATTTATTCAGATTTTTTCTCTCTGATTATGTTCTAGAATGTTAATATTGCATCATCATCATCTATGTTGTCTTGTTTTCTACCAAAAAAAAAAAGGCAAAAAGATTCTTTGTTTTAGAAATATAGGCAAATGTTCACTGTTTGGTATTCTGCCGCCTTGGCTGTTTCTATCCAGTGCGTACTGGCTAATGATGTTCATTTGTGACTATATTTCTTACAAAATATTATACTTCATTAAGCTTAGGTTGTTTTTTTTTGTTTTTTTTAATAAAATAAAAAATTAAAACCTTTATGATGGGATATTAGATTCTTTAATTTGTTTTAAAATTTAATTGGGATTAACCAAATATATAAAAAAAAAATTTTTTTAATGATATTGTTTTTAGCAAAAATATACTATGTTGTAAAAACGCAAACCCTGCAATTCCAAGGTATTTTGATTTTAAAATTCAGTTCCTATTGAAGAATTTCCCGTTCTGATTTTCATTCTGCCCTATTTGAAATTTAGCAAATAACCCAGACAGTCTTCACTGGAAAGAAATTCCCAAGTAACACTGTAAGGCTTCAGTTACCTTTAATGCTGTTTAATTCTTGATGAAGTGCTTAATAGACTCGTGCATAAATCCATCTCCACAGCAGTGAATGAATCAAATGCCTGTTACTCTACAAAGGAATTCATCCATCCATACGAGATTTCTGGTGAAGAGATTTGGTCCATCCTAGATTTAACAGGCATTTGATTCGTTCATTGCAGCTGAAACAGATTTAACCCTAGCAGTTAATTATTGCAGTTTATAAAAACTGCAATATTTACATGCTCAGGATTAAAGGACCACTATGGTGCCAGGAAAACATACCCGTTTTCCTGGCACTATAGTGCCCTGAGGGGTCCCCCTCCCGCCAGGCTCTGGGGATAGGGAGGGGTTAAAATCTTACATTTCTCCAGCGCCGGTCAGGGAGCTGCTCTCCTCCATAGCGATGTCATCGGCTGAATGCGCATGCGCGGCAGGAGCCGCGCGCGCATTCAGCCAGTTCATAGGAAATCATGTACAATGCTTTCCTATAGACGCTGGCGTCTTCTCACTGTGATTTTCACAGTGAGAAGCACACAAGCGCCTCTAGCGGCTGTCAAGAGACAGCCACTAGAGGCTGGATTAACCATATTATAAACATAGCAGTTTCTCAACTGCTATGTTTATTTAAAAAAAAAAAAAAAAGGGGTTAATCCTAGATGGACCTGGCACCCAGACCACTTCATTAAGCTGATGTGGTCTGGGTGCCTATAGTGGTCCTTTAAGGATGATGGGAGTTTGCACCCAGACCACTTCAATGAGCTGAAGGTGTCTGGGTGCCTACCGTGTCCTTTAAACCCCCAAAAAAACAAAAACTAAACCAGTCAAGTAAATTCTGCTTTACTTCTGAAAATACCCAAACTGATCACATGACCTACAGGCACATTGCTGGCTTTTTTAGATTTATTAGTGTGACTTAAAAACAAATATAAATCCTGTGTGGGCTAGTGACCCAGGACCTTGTTTTTGTGACAATACAAAATTAGGAACTTAACTAGGACATCATTTTGTGGTTGACGTGTGTGCAGTTGGGAAATCATGCAGGGGAAATGTAAAATCTCCACTCTGCATCACAGTATCTGTTTCAAGGCCAGAGATAGTGAACAAATTATGCCAACATTGGGAAAGAATTGGTAAAAAGATCTCTTTACTCTGGATATCTGCACTTAGGCAAGCAGTACTATATATCTATATGTTGGTGTAGTGCCAGCAGACTTTTATTGAATTACATATATATATATATATATATATATATATATATATACTGAACAAAATTATAAACGCAACACTTTTGTTTTTGCCCCCATTTTTCATGAGCTGAACTCAAAGATCTAAGACTTTTTCTATGTACACAAAAGACCTATTTGTCTCAAATATTGTTCACAAATCTAAGTCTGTGGAGAACTTCTCCTTTGCCGAGATAATCCATCCACCTCACAGGTGTGGCATCTCCAGATGCTCAACAGACAGCATGATTATTGCACAGGTGTACCTTAGGCTGGCCACAATAAAAGGCCACTCTAAAATGTGCAGTTTGATAACATAGCACAATGCCACAGATGTCGCAAGTTTTGAGGAAGCGTGCAATTGGCATGCTGACTGCAGGAATGTCCATCAGAGCTGTTGCTGAATTGAATGTTCATTTATCTACCATAAGCCGTCTCCAAAGGCGTTTCAGAGAATTTGGCAGTACATCCAACCGGCCTCACAACCGCAGACCACATGTAACCACACCAGCCCAGGACCTCCACATGCAGCATCTTCACCTCCAAGATCGTCTGAGACCAGCCACCTGGACAGCTGCTGCGACAATCTTTTTGCATAACCAAAGAATTTCTGCACAAACAGAAACCGTCTCAGGGAAGCTCATCGTTCTTGTCCGGGTCTCGACCTGACTGCAGTTTGTGGTTGTAACCGACTTGAGTGGGGAAAATGCTCACATTCTATGGCGTCTGGCACTTTGGAGAGGTGTTCTCTTCACGGATGAATCCCGGTTTTCACTGTACAGGGCAGATGGCAGACAGCATGTATGGCATAGTGTTGGTCAGCGGTTTGCTGATGTCAACATTGTTGGTAGAGTGGCCCATGGTGGCGGTGGGGTTATGGTATGGGCAGATGTATGTTATGGACAACAAACACAGGTGCATTTTATTGATGGCATTTTGAATGCACAGAGATATCGTGACAAGATCCTGAGGCCCATTGTTGTGCCATTCATCCACGACCATCACCTCATGTTGCAGCATGATAATGCACGGCCCCATGTTGCAAGGATCTGTACACAATTCCTGGAAGCTGAAAACATCCCAGTTCTTGCATGGCCAGCATACTCACCGGACATGTCACACATTGAGCATGTTTGGGATGCTCTGGATCGGCGTGTACGACAGCGTGTTCCAGGTCCTGCCATTATCCAGCAACTTCGCAAAGCCATTGAAGAGTGGACCAACATTCCACAGGCCACAATCAACAACCTGGTTAACTCTATGCGAAGGAGATGTGTTGCACTGCGCGAGGCAAATGGTGGTCACATCAGATTCTGACTAGTTTCCTGACCCCCCCCAATACAGTAAAACATTTACAAAAACAAAGATAAAGCACTGCGCTGACAGCAGCAGTAGCTTAGTATCCAACAGCTTAAAATACATAGTAAAAACAAAGAGAACGTTACCTGCGCTCTGGCCTAAATCCCCATGTACATTTAAACAAAATGGGGGCTCTTTAGTTTTATTCCAAGGGCCATTTGAATATATAAGCTCACCTGCCACGTCAAGGAAAGCCTCAATAGGTGAGACTAGCCATTAGATATGCTGATATCAGCCAAGAATCTCCAGTAAGACAGGAAGGGGTATTTTATAAACCCTTTCACATTTAACCCTTTATAGGGATTCTACACTTACAATAAACTTTGCTGGTATCAGACAAAGTGTAAACATCTCTAATGAGACAGGAAGGGTTTTTTATAAACCCCCTACATACTTCACCCTGAATAGGGCTATAGCAAAGTTTATTGTATGTGTAGAAGGCCTATAAAGGGTTAAATGTGAAAGGGTTTATAAAATACCCCTTCCTGTCTTACTGGAGATTCTTGGCTGATATCAGCATATCTAATGGCTAGTCTCACCTATTGAGGCTTGCCTTGATGTGGCAGGTGAGCTTATATATTCAAATGGCCCTTGGAATAAAACTAAAGAGCCCCCATTTTGTTTAAATGTACATGTGGATTTAGGCCAGAGCGCAGGTAACGTTCTCTTTGTTTTTACAGTAAAACATTTAACACATTTTAGAGTGGCCTTTTATTGTGACCAGCCTAAGGCACACCTGTGCAATAATCATGCTGTCTAATCAGCATCTTGATATGCCACACCTGTGAGGTGGATGGATTATCTCGGCAAAGGTTAAGTGCTCACTAACACAGATTTGTGAAAAATATTTGAGAGAAATAGGCCTCTTGTGTACATAGAAAAAGTCTTAGATCTTTGAGTTCAGCTTATGAAAAATGGGGGCAAAAACAAAAGTGTTGCGTTTATAATTTTGTTCATATACCTTGTTGTCTATATACTTGATCTGTGAATATTTGCACGATCTTAATCCAATCTAATCCAAGGCTCGACAAATTTCAACAGAATCTAGGGGGCTTTTTTTAGGGTGGAGAGGAGGGGTTCCTTTAAATTTTTAGACTTTTGAGACATTTCACGCAATATTTAACTACTCCAATATGTAACTTTTTGTATGTATATACACAGCACAACGTGGGTCAATGAGAAGACTTAAGAAGTTGTCTGTTGCAGTAAATAGGGACTGCCAGCTGTGTGAGCTAATCAGGAACAACAGAGCAAGCTGTAGGCCCAATCAGCTCCTAACTGACAGAGTCTATTTAATACCAGGGTTTATAACAGCTGCTCCTGTCCTCAATGTGTGAAAATAGCCCTGCAATTAAGATAAAATTTGGGCGCCAGTTGACATTTCTGGGTCGCCATGGCATTTGTTAAGCCCTGCATTGGGCCTCAAAATGTACTTTCCCTTGTTTCCCCAGCCATTTATTTTTATCTCCTGTTAAAGACAGGATTAGCAATGGCTGGGCTGTATTTAATGACAAGATACAAATTTTAAGGTGTGAAATTACCCATTGAGTTCTGTTACTCCACTTTTGAATTGTACGTATACATTCAGGCAATGAACAGTAGCTACTCTTGGATATACCTAGCAGGCGCCCATTATGAAGCATAGGTTATTCCGCAACTGTAGCCATTCTCTTCATAATGTCTATATGTGTACAATGCCACAGCATGTTAGACATGTCCCTGTATGAGAGACGGTCATCATCAGCTCTTTATTGATGCAAATACTGTTCCTCACTTGATACAGTCAAAGAGTAACTTAAAGATTTTAAATATATATATATTTTTTTTTTCACAAAATGAATAAAGCAAGATTTGAAGGAATTTAAAAAAAAAAAAAAAAAACACCCGGAAAACCCAGACGTTGGGAAGATAATGTCTAGCAGACTTTTTAAAAAAGATTATATTTATTTATATAAATCTGAGTGGTTTGACAAAATCTGGCCTCTTCCTTTCACCTAAAGCTTGGCCCCTCTGAGTCTCTCCTAATGCAGAATTGAACTCTCTATTAACTGTAAGAGAGAAGGATTAAGATCCCAGAGGGCCCAAGGCAGGTTACTAGTTTGGAGCAACCCTTTCATGCATAGTATCCAAAACACATTAATATAACCTCTGCCGTGAACAAATGTAAACATCATCTATTTCTTCTTAACACATAGTTTAATTTAACCAAAGGAAAGAAAAATAAAAAAACCTGACGTGCAAAAGTTTAGGCACTCATTTATGTAATCCACTAGTGATTTCTCTGTGAAATATTGATATTTGATGTTATGCCTTAATATTTATTGGTGACAGTTCTAGAGCGTAACAAATTCTCAGACTATTGAAACTTCTCCGGGGAGAATGGATATTTCTAAATATTAACAAATACTGGAAGCTAAAGCCACGGTCAATGAAGAAACTGAAACTGAAGCTGTATAAGGGGTTGATATTTCATCAAATCGATGATCCAAAACATGTCTAAATTAACACTGAACTAATTCAAGAAATTAATGTTAAATGTTTTGGAATGGCATTCGCAATTACCCATATTACTGAAAATCTATCTGTTGATCCCAAAAATACATTGCTTGACACACAACCTAATATTTCGGAACTATAGATGCATGCTACTGTAAGAAAGATTTAGTAAAGTTTTCTAAAGCAGTAATATAAATTACCTTGCCTACAAGACGTGTTTGAAAGCTACATTAACGCAACCCACATACCGTGTGATAATTTGCAATGGTGAGACCTGAGCAAAAAATAAACATGGAATTTAACATTATGGCTTCAATGTCTTTTTTGGATACGTTTTTCAAATAATTTCATATTTTCAGATAAACTAATAATAAATTCTTTATTATTTGCAGGTAGGCCAGGGCTCAAATATGTTTGTTTCTTTGTTTTTTTTTATGTATACATATTGTTTAATATTTTGAAAGCATATCCAAAAATATTAAAAATACTTGAAAAACGTATCCAAAAATATTACTCAGGTCTATGTTTGGAGGTTAGAGGTGCTTTGATGCCTTCTAAAACGAAATTCTATCAATGTCCAAATCCCACACCTAATACAACAAAGCAAACCTCAATGAATTGACACGAAAATGCTAAATGTTAATTTTGCGTACCTGTTTTGTACATTACTCAAGCTGTTTTTATGAATGGTGTAGGGATAATTGTGGGATAAAATGGGAGCCACTGATTGACTTAGACTAGGGACCAGCAACCTATGACACGTATGTCAGGCATGGCACATTTAAGGTGCCTTTGCATGGTACTCAAGGCTTCCAGAGCCAAACAGCCAGTAGCAGGAGACCCAGTGGGACTTCAGATATTTGCTAGTGCAACCCGAGCAGTGATTGCCGGTGGTGAAGGACAATACTCCATTTACTGCAGCAATTGCGAACAGGAATCCGCACTGGAGTAGAGTAGCCTACAGCAGCTTTCTGTCCTAAACCTGGCCAGCCCGGGCCGCACTGGCCCTTAAGGAAGTCATCCACACTGCTAGATATATCCAAAACACATTAATACAACCTCTGCAGTAGAACCTCAAACAATGAACAATAATAGCAATTTAAGGAATTTGGAAAAATAACTGTACTTAAATCAGGCTAATTTGGCCCATCTTCTTCCCTATCAGCAACGATAGGGGAGATTAAATCAAAAATACATAAAATACCGTATTTATCGGCGTATAACACGCACCTCATTTTAAGAAGGAAATTTCAGGGGGAAAAAACTTACATTTCAAATAAAGAACTTCTTACCCCCTTCTTACTCCCCCCTCCCCCTCTTCTTACTCCCCCCTCCCCCTCTTCTTACCCCCTTTCTTACTCCCCCCTCCCCTCTTCTTACCCCCCTTTCTTACTCCCCCCCTCCCCTCTTCTTATCCCCCTCTTCTTACTCCCCCTCCCTCTTCTAAATTCCCCTCTTACCCCCTCCTCCTCTTCTTACCCCCCTCCCCCTCTATTTACTCCCCTCCCCTGTAGCGTGGCCGAGCTGCTCTGCTGTCCCGGTGCCCGGCCGGAGTGATAGGAAGGTGCACGCTCAGTGTGCACCTTCCTGTCAGTCCGACCGGGTACAGGAAACAGAAACTTGACAGAGCACTCAGGCGGCTGCAGTATTTAAAGGGCCGGCGTATAACACGCACCCATAATTTCCCCCCTATTTTCAGGGAGAAAAAGTGCGTGTTATATGCCGGTAAATATGGAAAGAACTACTCTCATGGTGAGACGCCTCAAGAAATTGTTTTATTTAAAAGGTAACAAGGCCTCAGCTCTCCTGGCTCTCCAAACTCAGGCAGGTAAATGCCCAATCTAAAATTTCGTACTTAAAGGGAAACTCCAGTGCCAGGAAAACAATCTCCCTCCCACCCCCCCAATCCCCGGTTGCTGAAGGGGTGAAAACCCAGTCACTTACCAGAGGCCGCGACGATGTCCCTCGTCGCTGCTTCTTCCTCCGCGCCGCTCCTCCCTCTGATTGCGTCGGCCGGTGGGCGAGACTAATCCCGCCCACCGGCTGGGAAGACCTAATGCGCGCATGCGCATTAGTGCTCCCCATAGGAAAGCATTGAAAATGCATTTCAATGCTTTCCTATGGGGATATGAGCGACGCTGGAGGTCCTCACACAGCATGAGGATGTCCAGCGACGCTCTAGCACAGGTTTCCTGTGCTAGAAACCAGGAAGTGCCCTAGAGGTGGAGTTAACCCTGCAAGGTAATTATTGCAGTTTATAAAAAACTGCAATAATTACAGTTGCAGGGTTAATAGTAGTGGGAGTTGGCACCCAGACCACACCAATGGGCAGAAGTGGTCTGGGTGCCTGAAGTGTCCCTTTAATAGATGACCAGGGACAAAAAATATTTAACCCGAATAAGATTAGTGACCAATTTGCAAAATATTGTAGCGAACTTTACATTTGAAATCTGATTTGAATCTTACCCAGCCGTCTGAGGCGACTATTAATAATTTTTTAGACAGGGTTTCGCTCCCTCGGCTATCTTCTGACAATTTGGAAAAACTGGAGTGTGATATATCTGAAGTAGAGATAGCCGAGGCGATCAAGATCATGCCGTCAGGAAAGACTCCTGGATCTGATGGATTTACCATTTTATATTATAAGACCTTCGCAGAAACTTTAATTCCCCATATGTCCAAATTATTTAACTACTATAAGTCCGAGGGGAAGATGCCGGGAGAGTCTTTGTCCACACAGATTATCACCTTGCCAAAACCAGGTAAAACTCCGGATAGATGCTCAAATTTTAGGCCCATATCCCTTATCAGCAACGACATAAAAATGTATTCTAAGATACTAGCGAACCGCTTAACTAGTTTAATACCCTTACTGATTAAGAATGACCAGGTTGGATTCGTCCAGGATAGACAGGCACCTGACGGAACTAGACGTTTCATAAACCTGATTCAGCATATCAATTCAACAAAAAACCCTTCTCTGCTCCTTTCATTGGACGGAGAGAAGGTGTTCGACAGGGTACACTGGGGATATCTATGGAAGACATGGAGTAGATTTCATATTCCACAATCTTTTATCACTGCGATTAAGGCACTATACTGCGCACCCACAGCTCACATATCGGCCTCGGGTTTCCAATCCATAATTCTCTAACTAATGGGACGCATCAGGGTTGTCATTTATCTCCAATTCTCTTTGTTCTGGTGATGGAACCTCTGGCTGAATTGATTAGGGCGACCCCAAAAATAGCAGGTATTCACATTAAGGGATCCACGTACAAAATAGGGATTTTTGCAGATGATGTCATATTAGCACTCAAAAACCCAAAGGACTCTCTGGAATCTCTCAACACTATTCCACTCCAGTTTGGAGAAGTGTCATATTACACATTAAATATTTCTAAGACCCAGGCTATGCCTTTTCATTTGCAAAAGTCTGACATGGATGAATTAAAACTAATGTATCCGTTCGATTGGAGGAAGGATTACCTGAAATATTTAGGTATTAACTTATGCAAACATTTACTTAATATGCATATTCATAACTTGAAGAGAGCATGGCCAGACCTACAAAGGGAGATGGAGAGATGGGGTGGTATGGAATTATCGTGGTTAGGGAGAATTGCCTCCATAAAAATGTCGATCCTACCAAAAATCCTGTATTATTTCAGAACTATCCCTCTATCTGTTCCAATGTCCTTTTTTAACAAAGTACATTCAATAATGCTTACATTTATCTGGAACAAACTTAGTAGAAATAAGCTTA